AGGATGATTATGAGCTTGTACATTTTGGGTACAAGTTGGCATGGAATATACATGAGCTTGTACATTTTGGGTACAAGGTGCAACAGAGTGAGCTTGTACATTTTGGGTACAAGGAATAACAGAGTGAGATTGTACATTTTGGGTACAGGCTGTATAGGTTGGGTACAAGGTGAAACAGAGTGAGCTTGTACATTTTGGGTACAAGGTGCAACAGAGTGAGCTTGTACAGGTTGAGTACAAGGTGCAACAGACTGAGCTTGTATAGTTTGGGTACTAATAGTAGGATGTTAATAGTGAGAAGCATCATTGATATCAAGAGCAAGACTTGGTCCAGAATTAGGCACAGTTAAATGATGCATAACAGAGTCTCTATAGTTTGATCAAAAACAGTTCTGACACTTTGGTTCTGTAACAGGGAAGTTCTGTGGAGAGGGTCTGCAGACAGCATACTAAAAGTTGTTGGAGTCTGTATAATATTTGATTGAGTATCCTGCTGTATAGAAGTAGAAGATATCATGGATGGAGTTGTCAAATTTCCACTAGTAATACCAATTGAAAGAGAGTTACCAGACGGGTGAGCCGAATTCAATGTAGATTGATAAGAAGTGATATTTTGAACAAGTTGTAAATCACTTGGAACTGAATGATCATATGGTTGTGTAAGAGTAGCCTGAGCAATAGAGCCTGGTAACAGAATCTGTGACACTGAAGAAGGTACAAGTGTCTGTGGTGTTCTGGAATCAGTTGTATTAGTGGTAGGTGTATTACTAGTACTGTGAATTGTTACTGGTGTGGTTACATGCAATAAGTTAGCTTCTAAAAGCAGTCGTAATTCTGTTCTTGAAAATGAAGAGGGGGCACTGATGCCCAGCTTGTTTAACTCAGATTTAAGATTGTCAACAGTCCAGTATCTGTATAGATCCACACCAGTTGTACGCTTAGGTCGTTGACCGGAGCTCATAATGAATACCAACACACAGACACGAGTAAAGTCGAGTCTTGCCTTAGGATATATTCTGCACCCTTAATAACTACAACGCAGACGCCATATTGGATTCCAGAATCTGTAAATCATATCACAGTTGAAGTTTCTGCAGTTTAAAAGTTAATAACTTCAACCGAAAGAGTTAACAACACCAAATTAAAATTCTATAACTGCCGGAAAACTGTCATAAGGTAAATGGAGGTGAATTATAAAGAAGAATACTTGAAAATTCTTAGAAAAACGGGTTTTTGAGTTATTGCCGGTTTTTTTCTGTTCGATCACACGATTAAAGTCGTCGGCAATTTATTACACGTAGTGAATTTTTAAGAGTGAAAGCGGAGGCAGCCATTTTGAACATTATATATCAACAGCACGTCCGATTTGTTTCAACAGCAGGCCTATCGATCGCCCGGTTCAATACGCCAGACACGGGCAGGCGTACCAGCGAATAGAATCGCCGGCGTAATAATTGGCCGAAAATATGTTCAAAAATTATATGCCGGAAAATCGTGTGAGCGTCGACATGAGGGGCAAATTTGTTTAAGAAATATGGCCACGACACACACAGTACAGCCCATTACCACATTCTTCAACTTATTACCAAAAGGACTTTGATTTATTAATTTAAGTACTTTATGAAATATATATTTGTATATGTCTAAATTTTCGCTAAGGGAGACATATTCGAATATCTGTATCGCTTATATATATTTTGTACTTTGTAATAAAGAAATACTGTTTACAAAAAAAAGATAATGCTCGGAGTTTTTGCTAAGTTCAAAAGAAATGTGGGATTCTTACCTCTGTCTTCACTTTTATACGCCTACATGAAATTCAGGGCGTATATTTGCGTCCGTCGCTCCGGCAGTTCGGTTGGTTCGGTTAACATTATTTCATAAGACGGATGCAGAGTAAGAGAAATCTCGTTTGGTGATTTCGAGGTTAACAGATGGTATGCTTAAAGATGGGTTCTCTTATTTTCATTTATAAAAGTGAAAATGCTAATACTTATATGAATAGGTAGTAGAAGTATTCTAATGACTTTGAAAAATATCAGTTTGTCTCACATGTCCATAATTGATTCATAATTAGCTAAAGTAGAAGAGAATGAGCTGGAGAATTCCAATGAGTGACCGATAAAGAAAGGTTTTTTGTTCTTCCAGAAAGTACATATATGATTGGTTAAAGCTCTTAATTTTATGCAATAAGAACATAACGATGTGATTAAGAATACATGATAATTCATTAAAAACACCAATTTGTCAAATAGTTTGCTTAATTTGACACTAAAAAAATAAGGAAACCCATCTTTGATAAGCACAGACTCGAAGGCCTTTAAGATCTGGTATAGGGTTTGAGAAATCAATCATTTTTGGATGCATGTGGGAGATTTGATGGGCTTCCTTATTTTTTTAGTGTCAAATAAAGCAACATATTTGATTAAACAAAACCTTTCTTTATCGGTCACTCATTGGAATTCTGCTGAGAATTCTCTTCTAATTTAGCTAATTATGAATCGATTATGGACATGTGAGACAAACTGGTATTTTTTCAAGTCATTAGAATACCCCCACTTTCTATTCATATAAGTATTAGCATTTTCATTTTCATAAATAAAAATTTGGGAACCCATCTTTAAGGGCTTTATTATTTGTAAACAATATTTTAAATTTAATCACTTTTTGACTGGTATAGCCAATGGAGGGATTGGAGAGGTGTGTTCATATTTTCGAGTGTTGGTTAAAAGTCGAATTTTGGATGCGTTGTAGTTTTTCTATTTGATATTCTAGAAGTCTGTGAAAGAGGGCATTGTGATAAAAGCGTGGATTAAATTTTCTTTGACAGTTGGAGTAATATATTTCTCAATCGTGGATATTTGCTTTAAAAAGAAGAAAGCAGTTAGTAGAACAGGTGAAGTTGATATGGTGTTTAAAGGACAAGTTAGAATTTATAACCACACCGATATTTTTGGCTTTATCCGATTACTATATCAGTTCGTTTTCAAACAGGATCTGTGTAGTTTTCAGTTGTAAGTTGTTGCTTTGTGTCTAATACCAGTAATTCTGTTTTATCAGGATTCAGTTTCTGTACTATATTGCTTATAGGCCGACTGAAACGGGTTATCCTAAACACTGGTTATGGGTCGACAGGGTATGACACAATATGGCATGACGTTCTCCGAAGCGACAAATATAAATAGAAAAAACAAATTTCTGTCATTTCGTTCCAAATGAACCGCCGATGACGAAAGACCAATGAATTTGCCATATTTGTCTGAATTTCAGCCTCCTTACAATTCGTTGTTCAATGTGTTATTCAATTCGATTTGGCAAGTTTTAAAAATTATGTTAGGTATTCACTATCAGTACCTCAAATTTTAGAGCCAAATTTTCACCGTTTCAAACAGACTACATGTACAAACTGTTAACTAACACAAAATGCTAATGGTTAGGATCAGGATGCAAATAATAAATATCTTAACCTGAATAGGTACACGTTTGTTTCCGTGTTGTTTTACGAGAATTTTTTTCTTTTGGTGATATATCTTCCTTTTGATATATTTTCTTTGTTCTAAGAGTGGAAATAGTGTTATTAAATTGTAGTGGTTGCGAACAAATGTTTTACAGAGTGTTTATAGGTGAATAGTGGTTAATATCCGTTCTAATGGTTTAAAAAGTTGCTAAAAATTAGGTGAGTAAATGAGACGTTTTCCCAAGACTGATGTTGATTGTTTACAGTCTTTCCTTCAAACTGGTGAGGCAAATAACATTTTAGTGGAATCGTGCAAATATTAATACTCCAACAAACTACACAGTACTTATCAATTTAGGCCGATTGGCTAATTGAGAATCCGAGATTTTGGTCATTTTGCTTTCAAATAAAGCACCTAAAGTTCACATTTTGCTAAAAAGTATTTGTAGTTACCAGGTTTGAATGATGTGTGAATTAATATGTCTTCGAATTGTTGTTTTCCTGTTTGCAAAGCACACTGGCACATATTTTTCTCACTTTGCATATTTGTTTAGGATAACCATACGTTTGCATGACGATGGTGTATAAACGACTAGCGCTAGTCTTCAACACTGGCCCAACTCTCACGTATGATCCCTTGTAAGTTTCCAGTCGCAATCAGGTGTACGGCGTTGGTTTTGCTGGCTTACTGAGATGAAGTTGGAACACAGGACTCTGTTATATTGAAGCTATGTAAGGCTCCATCCTGTAACCATCCTGTACTTGTGATCATTTAAGTAAACGCGATCCAGATGATTAAATCCTGTTATCCTTGTCTAGGCTTTCCCGTGCTGACACGTCCTGTCCATTTATGAAAGTGATCGGGGTTTTTCAGTCACTTCTTCGTCAACTTCATGCAACTACAGATACTTTAAAGCAAACTTCGGGCGACTAATCTGGCAGCCATCTTGAACAAATTGTCGACATTTTGGATTTCTAATTGAGCAATCAGGTCAATCAGTTTGTTGCTTGCATCACTAGCACACTTGTTCTGTTATCTGCTCCATCAAAACGGTGGGTTCGTTTTGCAGCATTGCCCAATTTGACGCATCGTGCCCAACTGCACAAACATGACTTGTAAAACGAAACTTAAGGCTTCTGATAAAATTCGGAATGACCATTTGTTTCACAGTTGCCATTTTTTCTAGCACGTGGGTGACGTTACAGGCACGCAGTAGAGGGACATAACTCTTGCGAGTTATGATCAATTGTATTTATTGAACTTGTCTTGTTTCGTTTTATGGATTTATGTATTTTGTATTACGGTTCTGATCGTTTGTATTCATTTCATTTCAGATTTTACCATAAAACTATAGTTTCGATTTCCCTAACAGGTCCAAATTATAAATCGATGCGGGACAACAGATGACCATTCCGGATTTTATCAGAAACTTTTAGTTTCGTTTTACAAGTCTTTTTTGTACAGTTGGGCATGATGCGGCAAGTTGGGCAATGTGGTAAAACGAACCAACCGCGGTACACAAATTCAATAACACCCCAATTTAAACAAACATATTTATTACTAATAATAAAATGTCCATAAAAAAGAAACTTTGTATTAGGATATAATTTTAATGATCATATCTTCAAATAAATATAAATATATGATAAATTATAATGATACTATAAACTTTAGGAACAAACTGAAAGTAATGTCCCCAAGTTATTTCTTTGAATCCACATATTATAATTAAAATTAAACCAGGAAAATTGCGAGTTGATAGACTGAAGGTCTGATCTGTAGACGCTGGCAGGCTGGCAATCTCTCCAAAGAACATTTCCATACGTACATTGTAAATACTGTCCAGGGCGTCTAGGGTAGGATAAGATTCTATTGCTGAATCTCGAACAAATAACTACAAAAATAAAGCATCAATATATTACATTGAAATGAAAAAGAAATTCACGTTATACTTTTTCGCACCTGCTCGTAGTCGGGTTAATAGAGACAGAATAAATGGGAATAACATAAGGAGTTACATTATTACGTTGCGTCAAAAATGTATTGTTCATCACAGTGTCAATGATATATTATTCTTGTGACTTTACATAAAATAGGTAACCAAAAAGCATTTCTCCACTTAGCTTAGTGGAGTTCAATAAGATTCTAATATAAACCAAAACATAATTGGTCTAATGTGTTATTCAAATTTTTACTTACAATTGCATTGGAAATTATAATTGCTACAGGATCTATCTGAAGTCTGAATTCTCTCGCCTTGACAATCTGCACCACCTCCAGAAGATGGCGGGTTGTCACATGCCCTCGTTCTTTGTACCTGCTCAGTTCCAGTACCACAATAAGCTGAACATTCTCCTATATTACTCCAGGATGACCAGGCACTAAATCCCCCACTCACTGAAAGAACATTAGGCAATTAAGTTTATTTTTTACCAAACGAGTTGAATATTATTTCTCGAGCCCAGACGAGGTGAAAAAATGAATTGATCTATTTATTCAATACAGTGTATTGTTTTAACTTATATTTGTTTTATACGCTGATCAAATGTTATATATGTTGAGCTAAAATACATATTTAATAAGCTTGCAATGAGCATTAAAATAGCAAACTTTGTTCTAACAAACCAATACATTTTCAATACGTTAATTCGACCAAATTAAAGATATCGTAGTTGAATTATAAACCACCAACGTCGCCATTACGTACATTATTATATCCTTAGGAAATAAATATTGCAATATTATCAGTGTTTCCAAACACTTTTATATACATACCACTGGGCTGGCATCCTGGTGTGTCTGAACAATCCACGCTTTCTCTTTCTGATTCTCTATATAAACAATCCGGCGCACCTAGGACGCTATCCGGACAATTTCTTTCACGGATCCTTGATCCCACACCGCTACAGGTTGGAATACAACCTTCATAGGGACCAAACGTTGACCATTCTTCCCAACCACCTTAAATGAACATAACATTTTTTTAAAGAAAAATCATCAATGCAACATAATATTATGTTAAAATAGGTTGAAATCCGACAACGGGATGACTCTCGGAATTTTTCTTACCTTAATATTGGAGGAACCACTACATCAAATCGATCAGCAAACGTAAGTCCAACTTGCTGCCGATTGAGCTATTTCACAGCCGGTGGTAAATACAGCCTGTGAAACAAGGGTCTTGGGAAAATAGAATTACATGTAATTGTGAATATTTCGGTGAAAAAAAAGTTTCATACAGTCGTAAACTTAGCACTAATTATAACAGTAATTTCAATACAAAAATGTTAGAAGCATGATTATTAGAACTCACCCAAGCATTCTGTGGAATTGATTCTGAAAATAGAACATACAAATTATTATTCAAGATACAAACTAATATCCCAAATTAATTGATTGTAAGATCCTTATTCGGATAGACATAATTATACAAAATACCACTTTAAAACAATCTGAAGTGGCTAGGCATTAACTTGAGCTATGACACGAGTCATAATTTAACCAAAGTCTATGGAACTGCAAGTAAAATTGTAAGATGATGTTTAAGTAAAGGGTAAAGGTCGTTTGCTATATAAAGAAATGGTACTCATTAAAAATCATCCGAAAACCCACATTGTTTTCATAATGTTAAGTTATATATAATAGACAAGTTGCAATGCAGATTTTCATTTCACAAATAAGATAGTTGGTTACTAAACTACGTGGAGAAAACACAGTAAAAATATGTCTAGTCTTACTGAGTAAATTGTCCAGCAATGTTAGTTACAGAAATCATCAAAATGACACTCTTCAACAGATAATCTTTTGTTATTAAACCCATATTGCTACTTCAAATCCACACTGAGACCAGTAATGAGATGCGGAACTTATAAAGGATTTATATCCAATAATCAGCGATGATTAATCTAATCAAGTTTATGGTTGGATACTTATTTACTTTTCTTATAAGCTGTACTTAAGATAATTATCACATAGCTATATGGCCAATCCGGGTATTTGTTTCGTGGTTATCACAAATGTCCGCACGGACGGATATCTATACAATCTGTTTAAGATAAATATTATACTTACTTTGATTACAGGGGCATTCTGTTTTTTCATAGGTAAGTATTTTACGGCTCAAATTTATGAAAACTATACATCAAAATCCGCAGAAATCTGAAAATTTCAACTAATAAAAGGTTTTTATGTTCATTATGCTATTCGATTGTTAATAGAAAAGTACTAAAGTGGATTTAAGCAAAATAAACGTCTATTGTAGAGAAATATATATTCCACGATTTTAACTTTGTCCTTTGAAGGCCAAACATCCAAAATTAGTTCAAGCTACTTACTTAACAAGTTATACACTCTGTGTTAAATAATCCCTTTTGAAACAAAGCTTTAGTTTGATCAAGTAAATGTAAATAGCACATTTTAAAAATATAATTATAAACGACGATTTTGATATTGAAAATTTTGCACACTTTCTCTTTAAAACTGTTTCATTTAAACCACGTGTTCAAATTATATACGTTAAAAGGTCATCTTTTTTTGGAGGTCGAAATCTAACCTTTTTAGTTCCTTATGCTTTTTGGAAGCTGTTAGAAAACTACTGAACTGATTTGAGTAAAATAAATGCCTAATTGTAGAGAAATATGTCTCCTGCATATTATGAAGGTTTCAACATATAATATCGAGCCATTATAAAACCAAATACCAAAACTAGATCAAACTACTTAATTAACAATTAGTACTTTCCGTTTTTAATTAACCCTTTTAAAACAAATTCAGTCTAGTAGATATACAGATATAAATAGCATACTTACGAAATATTTTCAGGTATAATTTAAAAATTAAACGAGCTTTCCTTCGGGAAGTGATGTTTAATTATAATTCTACGAACTATTGCAGGAACGGAGGAATTCATCTGAGATAAGGCATGCGCAGTAGATGTCAGTCTTTAAATAATCAACAATTGGGTATAACTATTTGCAGGAATGGATTATTTTGGGAGGGTACCCGTTTTGGGTGGGCACATGAATTCCTCCGTTCCTGCAATAGTTCGTAGAATTATAGTTAAACATCACTTCCCGAAGGTAAGCTCGTTTATTTTTTAAATTCTACGTCACTCCGGAAACCATGTGAGATTTCAAAGCATATCACAGTAGTTGGTCAAGTATAGCAATCAGAGTATATATGTCAATATATATTTATTATTGTAAATCTTCAACAATGTAAACTTCAACAAGGAATAACAATACAATAAATTGTAACAAACACAAGTTAATATTCTTCCTAAATATAAAAATATCTGAATGAACCCATTATTCAGTTAAATAATAAAGATAATCAAATAAGAAAAAATCTTTAAAGTTCGGAAAAATGAATATAAAGATTAACACAAAAAACTTTGTAAAATGGTATCTTTGGCACTTAGTTCACTAACAGGTTTGAAAAAAAATCTGTTAAATGTGAAAACATTACTCCAACCAGCAGATTGGAGTATAACATCAAGTGGAACATTATTTTGAGCAAGTTTTGAAGTAACAGCAGACCTGGTGCTGTGAGTACTATATATATCTGTATTAACACCAGCTTGTTTTAATATGGATCTAATCCACCGCGAAATAGTGTCTGTTGAAACTGGCTTATGTGGTTTGGTAAAACTAATTAAAAATTGAGTATGGTCACCTCTTAAGTTTTTAGTTCTATTTATATATTCAGTTATTAATGAATACATACACAAGCTAGAATTTGTAGAATTCTTAGCAAACTCCAATGGTTTTAAATGAAACCCATGGCGAGATTGTTTGATTAGTCTTGGTACACAAAATATGTATTTCGAGTCACTGACTTTCATGTCATTTATATCTAAGAATTGAAGTGTTTGTGTCCTTTGGGCAGTAAATAAGGCCAATAAAGTGATCAGTTTCAATGTTAATTCTTTTAAAGTTAACATTGTAAATGGTGAGAAATTACTCACAAGGTTCACATCCCATACTTCATGGTATCTTGGTTTAGGAGGGTTTACGTTAAACGCACCTCTTAGAAATCTTTTCACAAGGGGGCGTTGTCCAAAAGGAACATTGGATATGTGTGGTAGAATAGCTGAGTGAGCACTTCGAGCACTATTGACAGTACTATAAGATAGTTTTGCATCAACTAAAGTTGCAAGAAAATTTACACCATCTTCAACACTAGGTATTAACGGATTAATTCCTGAATTATGACAAAAATTGTTCCATTTAGTTATATGTGTTGAGTATTGAACTTGAGTTTTATTTCTCCAAGATTGTAAGATGATGCTTGAAGCTGATGTTGAAAGGATGCTGTTAGTTGTTTGTTTCCTGAGACATGGCAAATCAGCAGACAAAGAGTTTTGTGAAGCGGATGATGCAGACTGGTTGAAGAGCTTAGTAGATGTTTTGACGACTGTAAAAAAACTGGTGGTTGTATCAGCAATTTTGTTAACTTCGGGTACCATGATTGTGTCTTCCAATTTGGTACAACTAATATTCCTGTGGCTTTCTCTTGAATTATTTTTTGTACAACTATTTGAACTATGCTGAAAGGAGGAAAAGCATAGAATTTGTATGTTGACCATGATACAGAAAATGCATTAACAGCACAACAAGAAGGGTCACATTCATAAGATATGTAAGAAGAGAACTGAAAATTTAGTCTAGATGCAAATAGGTCAATATCTGGAAACACATCAAGGATTGCTAATGCCCTTTGTAGTGATTGTTTAAGCATCACTCAGTGTTTGTCCGACACTTCCTGGACTGTTTGTCAGCTTCTATGTTTGATATACCAGGAATATGAGCTATTGTTAACCAGATATCATTCTCTTTGCACCATAACCAAATTTCCTTTGAAATATCATTGCATAATTGTGAGTGACTTGAGCCCATATGCTGTAATGTTGCTACAGCAGTAATATTGTCAAATAAAACTTTAATACGGGAGGAAACAAGGTACTTCTTAAAACTTTTAAGAGATAAGAAAACAGCTAAGGTTTCTAAATAGTTTATGTGAAATGTTCTTTCTAATTTACTCCATTCACCCCTAATAGATTTATCCTCTAGTGTGGCTCCCCAGCCAGATAGTGAGGCATCTGTTGTCATAGTAATTGTTGGGGGTTCTCTTTGAAGCAAATTGTATGTGTTCATAACATTGTCCACCCACCACTGAGTATCCTGTATTGCACTGATGTGTAATTGCATCTGAGAGTCAAAATTGCCCTTAGATACCAGGAGACTGGAACTTTTATCTTTATCAAGTGATCTATAGAAAAGTGGGCCATACATAACACCAGGAAAACTTGATACTATCAAACCAATAACTTTCGCTAAAAATCTAATAGTCAGCTTCCCAAGATTGTTATAATTAAGGTAATTCTAAACAAGTTTGTCCTAGTTTTGTCTTTTTTACATCAGTTAGACGTATAGTCACTGTAAAGAAATCTAATAAGAAACATAAAAAAATTATAGATTTGGATGGTTTCAAGGTGGGTTTAACTGGATGTATCACAAATCCTATTTTCCTAAAAATGTCAACAGTTGCTACTACATTAGCACAACATTTGTCATAACTTTCACCCATAAGAAATATATCATCTATATAGGCAGATGACACATGTCCGGCAGATCTTAAGAAGGACAAAGGAGGTTTTAGTAACTTTGTAAATTTTCTGGGACAAAAGCATAGCTCATTTGGAAAACATGTAAAGCAGTAATATTTATTTTTCCAGAAAAATTTTAGGTATTTTTCACACGAGGGATCTATTTTGACACTGTAATAGGCATCTTTCAAGTCAATAGAACTCATGTAACAATCTTTCTCTATCAATTTTATGACATTGTATTTAGTATCCATTTTAAAATGATTATATTCGATACATAGATTCAATTTTTTCAAGTTTAATATCATTTTATATGTACCGTTTGGCTTTCCTCTAAGAAAAATTGGCGAAAGAAAATCATGATCTTCAGCATGTAATTCAGCCAAAGGATTAAAACAATATTTATCAAAATCACTCACCTTAAAAACATCTAGTTTTAAGGGTGACTTGGTTTCCATTACTTTTCTTTCGTTTGTTTTTTCTTGTACTGGTATGGTGACTTCTGGTTTTTGTATTTTTCTTTTTGATGATAATTGTTGTATTTCGGTTTGTCTAAAAAATGACTATTACTGTATCTGTCATAGGATTTATTGCTGTAAGATGACCTCTGTGGTTCAGGCTTACGACTTTGGACCTTCTTACCAAGTTTATTGGTTTCTTTAATTGCAGACAAAGATTTTGGAAGATCCTCGCCAAACAATTGAGTACCTGTAATAGGAACACTCTTTGAACATAAAGAACTAAATTCTTCATTAAGGGAAGGCTTTATCAAATCCCTTCTTTTGTAGGACAAGTCCTGTGAGGCATTTCCTTAAAGTGCAATAGCATCCACAAGTTGAGTTACAACCTCTGAAGAAGTATCCTTTTTTAGGAGGACATCCACAGAGTTGCTAAAAGCAACTGAAGCTTTTATAATGGATTTCTGAATACTTGCCATTCTCAAGTCCTGAGTTTTGGTCATTTTGGAAAGTTTACCCCAGATTTCTTGGTTTACCAGAGGTACTGTGAGTTGTTCGCAGTTACTTGGTCTCTAATATTTTTCTGTTTTTTCTTTCAATTTGTCATCTGATAATTTATTGATAAACCTTTTGTTTACAATTGAAGCTAACCTATCCATTATTGGAGTTGTTGTTGGCTCGTCTCCATTAAATTCTGAATCTAGTTGAGTTAACAGATCACCATCATTTGATTGACTATTTGATAGAAAATTTGATGGAGGCATCAAAGCTTCAGTGTCACTGACACTCATTTCACTTCCATCGCTGTCAATTTCATCAGATGAACTCATACTCATATTACGAGTCTTTTTATGTAGGCCTAAACCTAGTGGTTTGGTAATCCCATCATGTTTGCGTTTCCTGGTAACAGGAATCTGATTATTAGGAAGGCCTTGTACAGCATTCGATGTAAAGGCAATATTTTGAGAAATCAAGTTCATTGTATCTTGTAATGTAAGCATTACTGGCAAGATAGTATTTTGTGATGTAGGTAAGGGATCTGGTTCAGATTCAACAGTTATGTGCATAGCAACATCATTAGGATTTATGTCTAAAAGTTTGTCTTCCTCTGTAGTAGAAAGCACATCAGTCGACACGGTTGTATGTGACTTGCGTAAACTCGCCATTGCTGGAGTAGAACTTTGTCAGCAATATTGGCCGTATGTCTAAAAAACGTAAAAAAGTTTATAAAAGGACGTGAAATTGTGTTATAACCTGGAGCGAAAGTTTCTAACTCACAGGCCAAACGACTTATTATAAAATAGAGAGTCTATTTTATAGCAAATATCAAAGGATTATCTCGATAAAAATTTATGAGATAAAAGATAGACTGTACTATAGCGAAGCACGCAGAAAACTGACATCTACCGCGCATGCCTTATCTCACATGGTTTCCGGAGTGACGTAGCAATAGTGTGAAGTAGAATTTTGTGACGTTTTTGATAATGAAAATTTTACATAGGATACCGCCCCTTTAATATTGTGTAGCCTAGCTTTTATTTTTTTCTATGAATGAATGACATTGATTTTCTGAAAGAAATTAATATCAATGGCATTACGTACGTGCGAGTTGGTTAAAAAAAGAATATCTTTATATATTTTGATTGGTTATATAGTGAAGAATTGAATAACTATTATAAACTATTTGTGCGGGTTATCATAGCTAAAATAATAATGACGTCCCTTTGCCGGTTACACATTTATTTTGAATAATAAATATGGTAGCCTACTGTTAGTCTTAGAATGTCTTGAAAATGATAAAAAGTTAAGCATAGGCTAAGCACACATTTATGGTGGCCTATGAGGGCATGAAACGACCCAATCAACCTTGCACTATTTTTGTTGTTGTGTATTAGGCTACCTAGGGGTGGGGCTTAAAGTTAATTCACAGACAGAGTTGTGTTGTTGGTTTTTTTCGCACTTTTCTGACTATTATCCTTAAAAGTACGGTGATAGATTCCTGAACACTACCGAATGTAAACATTTCTTGATGAACGCCTGAATTTACACGTGTTAATTCGAATGAATAGCCATTCATTTAAGATTTAACACGTAATTCGGCGTTCATTCAATCCTTAAATAAACTTGCAAAATTCTTTTAGCAACGCAAAGACATTCTAAGACAAAATAATGCTATCTTAAGCATTTTTCCAATTTTCAAAAAAAAATTTCCCTATAAAAAAATTTTACTTTTACTCAGACAATAGGCCGGTATTCTGTCATCGTTAACTGTTATTGCTCCATCAATTGGACACTAAAAAATATTTACTTGAACTCGTAAAATAGGCATCTATAGTTCCTAAACTGTAACCAGTAGATTTACTCTACATCCTTCTAATCCATACGGACACGATCATATGAATATATTGTTCCATTTCGGCACTGAATGTAATTTCGATTTTAGATGCTATATGCTGCTCTAGAAAGCCCAATACAAAGTTTATATATATATTGGAACAACTTTTGTACCCGTTAGTACTAACATATTCATTATAACTTAATAATTAAATACATTTAATTTAGGACATCTTCGAAATTTTAGATGTAATGGGTTCTTTAATTAAACATATCATTGAATTATTGCGTTATTTGTAGTTGAATATTTGTATTTTAGTCCTCTTGGCGCTTTAAAAGATAAAACATAGCTACCCTTACGGGGTTTGTAGACGCTCAGGGCACCGAAGATTATTAACTTTTGATTTGATAGCGAATTACTTCAAGCCGAAGGCTAACATGACTGAATACGATTCAAATCGATTCTTTATTATTCAAACGTTAGTGATGTATCTTGGAGTGTGTTTTTTACACTATATCCTTTAATTGGAGTAGATATTTATGTCATATTTGAAGAAATAGTTTCCTGTATATGGTAAGAATATATTTAGTTTTTTCTTTTGACACAATATATTATCATTATAATTAAGAATCTTACATACATTTTGAACAATTTTTGAAATATTTCCGTTACATTCAATTGTTAGTGTAGTATGCGTAGACCATGCTGATAGAAACACTGGTCGTTGATCATTGCCTTTTCGGTTTTAACGATATAATCTCTCATTATACTATAATATTGTTTAAAATGTAGCCTACATCCAAGGTTGGATTTGAAATTTTTTAATTGATAATTTCGTGATCGTTGAAATGTTAAATTGTGTCCCATTACAGCTTTGCAATGTACTGTTAGGTAATGTTACTGGGCGACAGTTTTTAAAATTAAATTAAAACTTTGTAAATACGATATTAAGACTAATTTGTTTCTGTCGTAACCTGATCCACTTTGTTGCTCTTCATTCCGTTTTCATTTCCGCCAAATGCGTTGAAATATCAAATGTCTAACATATTTAGTCATAATTTATATTAACAGTCATTTAAGAAGGTCAAATATAAATGTTCAATATCCAAATGGTTATTGAAGTTCATTGTTTAATGTTTATCAAACCTTATGATACCATCAAGTAATTTTAATTCTATAGAGACTTAACCTACGTCCATTTTCAGCAATGCCATGATGGCTGAAAATCTCAAACTACTCCACGACGAATATGTTATTGTCCCAACAAATAAAGCCCCGAACAACATTGTATTTATATGTAAGGCTTACTATTACAGAAGACTGATTTCGTCCTGTTAAACATTCCATACTTAGTGAGAATGAAATCCTCTCCAACCATAGGCCAGTTCTAGTTTTATTCAGGATTCCTTCTAAGAAAGCGGATTTTGAACTGCCTGTATTATACTGAATTCCCAAATTACAGAAAAACCCTTACAGGCAAAGTTTCATAGAGGGATCTTCCAAATGTTCCATTATAAAACTTTCAAAATTAGGCTATTATTTTCTATTTTAACAACTATAGCCTAAGGGATGATCTTCAAAAATATTGTGACACTGTTTATTCACGATTATTAATTGTGGATCTTGGAAAATTCTAAAGAACTTCTCGAATATTTGCAAGATCAACCACCTTCATCAATTCACTCTATTAAAACTAGATTTCTCTACTCTATACACAACCATACCTCATTCAAAATTAAAATCCAGATTAAAAGATATAATATACAAGGCCCTTTTTTATCATCTAAAACCGGAAACAGAAAATATAAAAACACATTGTTATTAATTATAACTCATTTCGTCAAAAGATACTCTGACGCTATCAATAAATATACAGGACAGGATGTCGTTCAAATGTTGATTTTTTGATATATAGATAAAATATTTGTCGAATTTGGCAGGGCGATATTTCAGCAAGTAATGATATTCCTATTCCTATTTCGGTATTACTATTTGTGCTCCTTTGTGCTTGGTGATTTATTTCTTTACTCTAATGAGGCAGAATTTATTCAAGGCCTCTAAAAATCTAACTCATTCCTTCAATTCCACTTTCCATTACATAGACGACGGTTTGTCACCGATGGACTCCGCTTTTGGAGACTATGTAGATAAATTCTACCCAAAAGAGTTGGAACAAATTATAAAAAGCAAAAGCAAATGCTAGGTTTTATTTATGTATTTTCAAAGATTGTACTTAATTCAAAATCCTATCGTCCTTTTAAATCAAATAAATGTTTGATAGTTGTATTTTTATTTTCAGATGGATTATTACAAGAAATTGTTCATGATGATCACTTTATCTGTTGGTTTGGTTATTTTATTCTATTTTAAAGGAACAGATATCATAAAACCACACATCATCAAATTACACCAATACGTTTACCAAATGACTAATTATACTCAAATATCTGTTAGCAATTCCAGTACAGTCAGTTTAAAATCCTTTAAAATTATGCAACAGGATATTCCAGTGAAAAATAAAACAATAGTTATGTTAAATACTCCTCAATGGCTAGCTGGAAAACTAACATCAAATATGTTTGATAAATGTGAAGTATCCGCATGTACATTTTATCATAAAACACCATTTAAATATGTCAATGAAAGTGATGCTGTTATTTTGTATGCAGTGGGATACTCATCCAAAAGATGGTTGGCACGAAAACCCAAAAATGGACAGATTTGGATATTTGCCGTGTGGGAGTCTCCATACTTTTCGTATTCAGGAGAATTTAATAAAGAAATATTTAAAAATAAGGTAAATTGGACTATGACTTATCGACTTGACTCGGATATCCCAGCACCTTATGGTATTGTGAAGAAAACTAGTGAACAGTTTACAAATTACACAAAAATTATGGCAGAGAAAACAAAATTGGCAGCTCAATTAGTAAGTCATTGTCCAACGCCAAGTTTACGTGAACGATATGTCAAATCGTTAGAAAAATATATACCAGTACAGGTTTATGGGCGATGTGGACCCGAGAAGAAAAGGATTAAAGATACACATTTAATTCAAAAAATTGAAAAATCTTATAAGTTTTATTTAGCTTTTGAAAATTCTTTGTGTCGTGATTATGTTACTGAAAAATTTTTTGACTGGCAAAATAAAAGGATTGTTCCTATAGTGAGAGGTGACGGTAATCATGAACATTTTTACCCCAAAAATTCGTACATAGATGTGAGAGATTTTAAATCAATTTCTGATTTAGGCAAATATATTAAATATTTAGATAGAAATGACACAGCTTATATGGAATATTTGAAAGCCAAAGAAAATTACGTTGTTACTGAGAGTTTAGGTTCATCTATAGTAAAATCACTTTGTCAATTGTGTAAGATGGTTCACAACCCTGATAAATGCAGGAATAATTACTCTAATGTTCAAGATTGGTATAGTAACGGAACTTGTACAAAACCAATTGATTTAGAAATAAAGAAAAAATCCTGATAAAATTGTATTGAAATAATGTGTGGTACTCATCATAATTAGGATTCCTATCCGTCTGTCCTTCAGTATGTCCGAGAGATTTTTTGAGAGCAGCCTACATTTATCGAAATATGAAAAGTATATCCCCCCCCCCCCCCTCTCCCTGACTGTACCTTTGTTGAAGTGTAGAAACTCTTTGACTAGCTTTGTCATGTGTTGCACACCCTCGATCTGCAGCTCTGGTAGGAATTCTAGAATCCCCACTTTTATGTAATCAGTCGAGAAAAATATCTATGCATCATATTCATCCGAGAACGTTTTGTCTTATTAAAGTTATACCCGGAAATAGGATTTGTGGGCTTCTAATTCTAACTCCCCGACCCATTTCGCAGGAAATGGTATGAATCAAGTAGGCCTATGTAGATTTTGCAGGTAAAAAATACGATTCGTCACAGATCACTTCGTATTCCCAGGTGAACAAACAATGAACATGAAGGGGGGGGGGGGGGGAATATATTGGCGTCACCCATATCCGCCCGTCGGTCCGTCGGTCCATCCGTCCACTGTAAACACTCTACATGTCACAATTCTTGACGGATTCTGTCGAAACTTAAAATGTTTATAATTATCCAAGAATGATTGAAAATTGAAAATCAAAAACATCGAAATATATTTAGTATGAGTTATTGCCCTTGTTTAGTAAAAGCGTTAAATTTTTTGCTTGTAAACATTCGTAAGGGCAGAATTTGTAATTACCCAAGGATGAAGTGTGTTTATAAATAACTGAAAAAGAGCGTGATAAAGTTTTAAATATAAGCATTAATGATACAAACTTAGTATTAGGTTTAACAATAAATAATCACTTAAACAGGAGTAAACATATAAATACATCTAATTCTATATTATCTACATTATATGGAATCCAAAATAAACTTGCCCCTTTAATCGAATTTCAAAAAGGAGCAGTAAGGAGAATCCTTACAAAATCATAAATGGAAATTTATGAAAATTTTCAAAATTACCTAAGTTAACAATCTTCCTTTTCAACTAGGCCTACGACTCTCTGTCTACGTTCAGAAATCAACAATTCCTTGCGCATTCCAAAATGCCGTTTTGAGGCAATGAAAAGAACGATTAAATATAGGGCAAATTCACATTGGAAATCGTTACCCCAATCTCCTAAATTTGTTTTTAGAATTACACCATTTATAAAATGGAGTAAGAAGCAACTGCGGTAAGGGAATTCTATTAAATCATCTAAGATAAATAAAGTTAATATGGTCGACTGTGAGCATTCGAGATTTGTGAGAAACAACACAAAGAATCATGTTAAAATATAATCTAATTAAATAAGGAATATTTGTTGTTGTTGTTCCTAAATTATCTTAAGTTGCATGATGACATTTTACAGCTAATAATTAGTATATTTATATTATAAATATTATAATTATCTACCTCTCCTGCATTTCTTTAACAATATCAGCCAATAAGTTTTCGGCATTATCCGCCAAGTCTGATATATCTCGGTATTTATTAAGAACTGATATCAGCATGGTTGTCCTTGAGGTAGGCCTAAGTGTAACTCCCTGACTCTTTATATCCCTCAAAATGCCACCAGTTAATTTCTAAAATATTAGTCTATGGTTGAATTATGTTTAATAATGGTTGGTTTTGGTTGAGGATAGGCATGATCTTGAAAAGAAGCATTAGAAGCTGATGTGAATAGGGCCTACACTTAGGCTAATTCTAGTGTAGCAGGTCTGCAAGTTGACTTTGGTGTTAGTGGTAGAAGCTGATAAATTTTTGAATGTCGGACATGAATGGTTCAAATTAATGTTTATTTTAATAATTTGGTTTTGACAATTTCTGCAAACGGCTGCATCTTTTTCAATGAGTTTTTCATAAGTTAGTAGGCTAGACTTGAGATTGATTATGATTATTTAACAAATATCAACTTAGATTCGAAGTTTCCTTTAGCAATTTTCCCGCATTTAAATGATGTTAGGCTACATTAGACGAAAACACACAAAACAATCAATAGGCTACATTGTTTAAATTATCTGGCGTCTGCCATTTTGATCAACATTGCTCACATGATCAGAACCATAGATTTCTTTTTATTATATGATATCTATGATCAGAACTTTTGGGACTACTTTTTAAGACGTTGTCAGAGAATATATTGTTGTAAAATGTTTTCCGTTGGTTTAGCCTACATATTCATCCGAAAATAGCCTATGTCAACATCAGATGAAGGTCAATGTCGTCGTTTCATGAAATTGGCAAAACAAAATAGGAACAAGATGTTTTGGGACTATTTTTTAGACGTTGACAGCGATGGAAAGGGACCATAGGGACTGCAAGGAACGACAACGATGCGAAGAGCATTATGACGTTAATGTTAATGACGTCATAGAATTTCATGACGTTATGTTGTCAAGGCTTAGAAAAATGGTGGACAAAAACAATGATCAGAAGAATCCAAGTTATTTAAGAATTTAGACAAGTTTTTAAAAATGGAAAAGTTTTCTTTCATTTTCGTGTTGGTCTTTTGTTTGTGTCTCATGCTTATTTCGTTCTCAAATGGTAGGTTTCGGCGCTTTTACTTTTAGCTGTCTCTTATTAGCTTGTCTAGATTGTGATCATGCTTGTGATTCTCCGGCGCACGTACGAGCCACCAGCTCAGGCAGAATTCATTATTTGTACACTTCTCCATAAGGCAATAGATTCCGTGTGCGGGTAAATTTAATCTTACATAAATTTACCTGCACACGGAAGCTATCGACTTAAGGAGAAGTGCACGAATAAATACTGCCTGAGCTGAAGGCTCGTGTGTGCGCCGGACTTTACTTAGTACCGTAACTAGGCCTAGCCTTACTGACTTACTCGCCCTTGTTGGTGAATCTACACTTGCTGAGCCTTTAACTTAAATATCAAAGGGACAGTTGTGGCATTTTTTGGGGGGGGGGGGGGGGGGGGTGATTTTAATCTTTAATATATGTAGATAGTCTTCAGAAGTAGCCTACTAGAGATAGAAAAATCGCATTATTCCCTTTAAAAATACTTCAAACTAGGACCTATACTCACTATTTCTATATAGGCTATGTCTTTTCTGTACTGGTATCAACATAAGCGTCATTGTCAAAAGCGGTGCAGGTAAAAAGGTCAAAGGGGGGGAAACTCCCGTTTCCATCATAAACAATATGGCCACCGTGTTTATTCGGAAAGAAAGCTTTGAACTTATTTTGACAGTTTTACCCGATTTTATATAAGCTTATATGCTTTTTATTTTATACAATCAACATTTGAAACAATTTAACTTTCATTATGACTCTTAATATTTTTATAACATGGAAAGTGAGGGCACTGCGCGACTACTTATTAAAGGGAGGTATTACCAAGGACGGTAGTAAAAGTAAATTGGCGGCTCTTTGTTTCTCTGCGTCTGTGTTGAAAATTCCTCCATCTTCCTTGGAAATTATCAAAAACAACAAAGAAGACTACCCAAACTTACCGAAAATTGAAGGCCACACTTTACCAGATCCACTACAAATCCGTGATAACTGGTAAGACGAGAAAAATGGTATGAACAAAATTCCACCTGTTTACATAATCAGATATAAACAAATAATTGACTGAGAAAGAAATCGCAGGGAGATACTCCAAGATTATATAATTGGCAAGGCATATGAATATTTTCAAAATGGATTTTACAAGAAACCTTTTACAATGGCATAGATCCATGATTAAAGTACTATTTTTTACGGGCAAAATGTGTTTCTTCACAAAAAATTAAAGATTACCTTGAAAGAGCAGGACACACTTGATCTAATCAAAATTATTTTTATTGGTGGCCATTTTGAAATCCAATATGGCGGTCATAATTTTGATTCATAGATGTATATAATGATATATATTTATAACTCTATGTTTTGATTGGATCACGTGTGTCCTGCTCTTATATGAAAGAGCATAATAAAAATTAAATATTTTGCCAATTTTCACACTTTTGTCAGAACATGAACGATTCTAGGGAAAATTTAAGGCAAACAACTCTACTATTTGATGAAAATTGATGTTGAAAATTTCATTTCAGGTTTAGTCAATGAATCTAAAGCCTTTTCGGAGTTTATGAAATCCATACAAAAGTGCAAAGTACAATGAAGAAACAGGGTGTCAGTTTTGATCTATTGATTTCTCGTCTCATGGGAATGTATTGTCAAATAATACCATAAGGATTGTCAAATACTACTATAAGTATTTTCAAATATTACTATATTGTCAAATAATACTATAAGCATTGTCAAATTATACTATAAGCATTGTCAAATATTACTATAAGCATTGTCAAATAATACTATAAGCATTGTCGAATTATACTATAAGCATTGTCAAATACTAAAATCATTAGCATTGTCAAATACTAAAAGCATTGTCAAATAATAATATAAAAGCAATGTCAAGTACATAATCGTTAAAATCTGTGTCATGTATAACATAATCATGATCATGATTTTTTTTCTGTGTGTGTTTTATTTTTATTGATTATTATTGCCTAAAGAAATAAATAAGTATAGTATACCGGTAAGCTTAAACATAAAAAATGTTGAATGTTTTAAGCAATACTAATAAATAAAAATTCTAAAATATCGGCTCTATCCCAAATCTACGGAAGCGTATTAGGGCCATTCATTTTTTTTTTTTTTAATTTTTTAAGTTAGTATGTTGAATTTTCAAGTTAGTATGTTGAATTTTCAAGTTAGTATGTTGAATATTCAAGTTACTAACTTGAAAATTCGAGTTACTAACTTGAAAATTCAAAAAAAAAATAAAAATGAATGGCCCTAATACGCTTCCGTACAAATCACTTGTGGCAGTCAAAGCATAGTCATAGATGTCAGGTATAATTGTTATGTGGAATGAGATCTTTATTATTTTCATTTTTATACGCCCACATCTCTCTATGTGGACGTATATTGTCGGCGCCCCTGTCCGTCCGTTGGTCCGTCCGTCAACATTTTGCCTGTAAACGCTTTAAAAGATTTTTTAATGGAATCAAATGAAATTCGGCATGGGTATAAATATTCATAAATCGAAGATCAAGTTCGAATTTGAGCTATTTTCGACCGTTAGAAGCAGAGTTATCGCCCTTGCCCCAAAATCTTGAATATGCTATTACTTTCTTAGTTTTCAACCGATTTTGATTAAACTTAAAATGGACGTTTTTACCATCCGCATGCCGTGAAGGGCGTATATGGCTGTGGTCCACTATCTTAATTATTACATGTAATATTGTCAGTGTATGAAACAGGGAATTGTCCATGAAATTTTCTGGCTGGTGTAGATCTACCCTCTAAAATGATTAGATGGGTGTCCATATATCCCGTGATGTACTTCATTAATGCAAAGGGAATATTGAAAATTATGAACACATAGGTAACTGGGTATTCAAGTTTAAGATTAGAAGGCTTTAGAGTCGTAATTTGGACTTCCCAGCAATGACCAAATTGGTAAGCCTTAAAAAGGGATCTCGTAAGCTAGTCGTGGACGAACCAAGAATATTAATGATATTACATCACGAAAGGATATATTTGCTGAGATTTTGCCTGTTTGCAACCTAATTGTATAAATAACTACCGGTATTTAAATAATATCGATAATTAAAGACGTTTTCATCTCATCTGTGATTTGACAGACGATCGAAGTTTATTTTTCTATGCTAAATGATATAAATGGTTTTTCGCCTATAACCGTATAATAACACTGCAGAGATTCCCATTTTCGACTTGAAGTAAGATACTGAGCTGAGGTTAAGCTTTCAGATTTATAATACAGTAAATATTATCATAAAAAGTTTAATGTGATGAAGCAGTGGGGAAAACAGATTTTGTTTTAATTCTAGGAGCGCCAAGTCCATCTAGTGATATTGTCCACAAAGTAGGAGGGACGTTGGAAGATTGTGCTAAATCATGTATTCAGGAAAAGAGTATTAAATGTCGATACTTTAAGTTTATCAACGTATCTCAGACTTGCTTAATGTCTGCTACCGATCATCCGGACATTTCAGCTTTCATTAAAAAACATTCAATATCTGGCACTAGCTCTGCAGAAAATCCACACGGTGATACCTCTTCACATCAACATCAGCAGCATCATTTTCCAGTATCACAACATACATCAGAATCGGGTATGTTAAATTCTTGGCTTGAAGTCACATTTCATAGATGTTTGCAAATGGTAAGCGTAATTGGCTGGTAAAAAAATAGTTCCTCAGATAATCGTGCAGAGAACGGTTTCTATTTAGGCCTACATTACAACAGAGGAATATTTCCAGATCACTTCATTATACCGTAAGGTAAAAGGGGCACATTTAATCGCGGCCTGGCTCGGACTGAGAACGGAACGCTTTGTGAACAGGCCTTAAAGTAACGAATGTTAAAATCGTTATCCAAACAATTTCACTTACTAATTACCCTTTTCCTCGCCATGATGATGATCATCATCATCGATCATCATCATCACCATCATTATCATTTGAATATTACTATTAACCGTTCTGTTTCTTTGCAGATGTTAAACTTAAAGATTTATTAAGGAAAATAGTCCTATTGGTTAGAAATACCAATGGCAAGCAAAGTAACAAACTACATTTACTGATGAGTAAGATAGATTCACTTCAGGGCGACTATAGAAAAGTTCAGGTATGTCATTAAGTAAATAAGCTTAATACTGCCTTCAGAATGCAGAATTTTGTGCTCCGAAACTGTGGACCATGATAGTAACCCAGCGTTTGTCCAAATTCGCGAAAAATGTCAGGTGGCAGAACTTTAAATTTGAAGTCAGTATTATTGTCAATTTGTCATCGTATCCCGAATACGGATTTTGACATTGTCTTATTACCCCGTATTAAACTAAGCCAGCTACACAAAATTAGTGCTATTAAAATCTGTCCAATCAGATCGGTAGATTGGAAATGAGTTCATGTAAACAAAACACAAAATCTATTTGCCGTCACCCGTTTGAAGAGATAAGAACATTTTCTTTCAACTTTTCAAAGTAAGATTTGATTTTCTGCCAGCTATAATTCTTTACCGAATATCTTACTTACTTATGCATCGTCCATTTTCATCGAATCATTTATGTTAATTTACAAAATTGCTTTCGTTTTGTTTACGTTCGCGAACATAGCGTCATAACGAGTGGTTTAATTTGATTGGCTGAGTTTTCCTAGAAAGATTCCAGGGTCAATTTTGATTGGACAATATTGAGCTATGAATACGTAATTTCTTTCACTTGTATTACCACTGCCATAAGGAAGTATGACGAATGGGGCGTTGTTTGGACATCATGTACCATTGTAAGCTGAACAAGTTATTTCATAACGCTCTTTTTTTTCAATGCCCGAGTCCCCGTTGTAACAAAAAAAAAGCAACAAGCAAATAATAGTTTCAAGAGTACATAGTATTAAGCTTAGATAGGCCTGCAAACAAATCAAATTAGGTTTTGATCCTACCTATTATTTTTTTATTATTTTTTTGTCGAATCGACTGATAATGCGTCGATCGTACGAGATGAACATTACGGAACCCAGAATTAGGATGAAATTGTTGAATATGTTTTTAGGAAATGGTTTCTAGTTTTGAAGAATTAAGTAAGGAAATGGAAGCAGCGTCAAAAGCAAAAACAGAAGAATTAAACTTATTACACAATGATAAAGAATCACGAGAAAAGGTTCTGAAATTACTGTCGGAGAAATTACAGAGTTCTGCTGCACAAGCAGATAGAGTTACATCTGAACTCAGTAATATACATGATACACAGAGAACGTTTGGTACAGAGATAGAAGCTTTAAGACAAGCTGAAAATGATATGTATGGTAATGTGGTTCAGGTATGAATTCAAATACTGTTCAGATAAATAAACATGCAGCTACCGATAGGAAACTCGCAATTTTATTTGAGAATACCATACAAAATTTTTCTGATAGATTGAACAACACGGTCACTCACCGATTGGAATAAATCTATCAGTATAACTCCTATCAACACAATGATAAAAATAAGTATATTAAACTAGCATATAAATAAAATGAAAATTTATCAATTTGGAACAATCTTGTGAATTGATATTTCGAATAGACTAGTCAATTTATGTTTTTAAAAGCTTCTATTCGCTGATCATCATCATCTATTCCCTTGTCCCTTATAATATTACAAAAAAAATTAGCATACTGGTATTTAATTTTTCAGATAAATCGTAAAACTACTAATTTGAATAGCAATATTAATCACATGAAGAATGCTGATACAGAAATAAAGAAAGAAATTGAATATTTGAGACGAAATGGTCGGGATAAAGATATGCAGTTAGAAAAACTTAGACGTGATATGATGACAAGCAAAAGTGAAAGTGATTCAGTAAGATCGTTTTGTTTATTTAATTGTTTAAGAGTGAACAAGGACTAGAAGGGTAATAGCCAGTGTCCAAGTTAAGCTTACCCATCAAGGTTTATTTAATGAAACATGTATAATGGATGATGGAATTCTATTTTAGCTATCTGTATCATTTAGAATTAATATAAGAGTACATGTTCTTCCAGTTGCTCATTGTAAAATTAAAAGAGAACACGGTATAACATGGTATTAACTTTAGCCAAGGACCTTTCAGTTATTGAACCATTTTTATACGCCCACATATATATTTTGGGCTTATATTGTAATCACCCTGGCGGTCCGTCAGTCCGTTCACATTTGGCTCGTGCTCAATCTACAGGCTACAATTCTTTACAGATTCTTTTGATTTTTATGTATGTGTTATGTAGGTCAATGTCGTGATTTTCATGATGATCTATAATTTGTCCGTCGGCCCGTCGGTCTGTTCACAATTGGCTCATACTCACTGTACAGGCTATAAACAATGATTTGTACTTGCAATCAAAGCTACTGGTGGGCGTATGTCATCTTGCTTCGCAAGGCTATCTTTCAATTTACTGCAGGCAAAGACGACGTAAATTTACAGCCAAAATTTGGGCTCTACCAGCTTCTACACATATAAAGCGACTAAATGCTTAAGATATTCTCATTAAGAAAGATCTTATAATCAAATTGATTGCAATACGTATTTCCAATTTCTTGTTATATTAATACTTTTCAGATTCGACCGGCAGTTAAATCATTGGAAAAGAATCAAAAAACATTAACCAGAGCTCTCGAAACAATTGCTCATAAAGTTGATAATATGGAAGATTATGTCAACAACTTTCAGAAATCCCTGGATAATTATGGTGAAAAATTAACAAGTAGATTTGATGATGATAAGGAATTAAAAGATAGAGTTAGGAACTTGGCAGATGTACTCAAAGATACCAAGGAAAATGTTGATAAACTTATAAATCCACAAGTAAGATGACATTGTTCATTCCCATCCTATACATCTATGAAAGTACCAGTCTCACTTTCTCTGTAACAGAATTACGTTATGTTGCCCTCTGCATCTCTGTCATAGATCTAGTCTCACGCTCTCTATAACAGTCCCGAATTATTTTTTACATCACTCTCTCCATCTCTGTGTAACAGATCCAGAATTACTTTATATCGCTCTCCCCATCTCTGTCACAGTCCCAGTCTCACATGCTCTGTCACAATCACGGAATTCTATCTGTCTTTATCTCTGTAATAGTCCTTACATTCTATCATCCTCTTTATCTAAATATGTAACAGTCGTAATATTCTATCACTCTCTTTATCTCTGCCAGTCTCGCGTTCTCTGTATCAGTCCCGGATTTATTTCATATCACTCTCTTCATCTCTTCAATAGTCTCAGTGTTACATTCCATCACTTTCTTTATCCCTGTAATAGTTCAGAGTTACATTCTATCAATCTCTTTTTCTCTGTAAAAGTCTTTTTTCTGTAGTAGCTCCAATTTTCGAAACATTTCACATTTCTCTTTCCGATCTTTATTCCTTTATTCGATTACTCCACATTCTGTCGTTGTCGGCTCTATATAATAGTCTCAGTTACTCATGCAAGTCTCTTTACAAGTCCCAATTTTGCATTCTCTATCTCTGTAAAATTAATAGTCCATGCGTTTTCTCTGCCTTCTACATTTGATCATGTTCTATTTCAGTCGTCATTGAATATGGAGAGATCTCAAGGTTTATTAAAAATGAAGAGCGATATTAACGTCTTATCAACATCGATTAAAACTCTACAAGAAGATAGTAAAAGTTCTAAGTTAGATATGACGAATATTGTACGCGATCTTGCTAATGTTCAGTTATCTAGTCAAGATATGAAAAATCAACTCGGAATTGTTGCTAGAGCCAGTAAACAATTACAGGCTGAAATGATCACCATTCAACAAGCTGAGGTTAGTGGAAGACTTATAATTGCTACTCAAGGGATCGACACGCTGGGAAATATGTTGTAGTGTAAATGTATGACCAAATCCTGATCTGCAACCAATTGATAAGTCTTCTCTTATGTGAGCTACATTATATATATTTTAGCTTAGTTGTGATTAAATACACACTTGATAGTCTGAAAATGATGTTTCGAGCACAAAAACAAATTCGTTCTATGGGATTATTTCAATTTGCACATTGCGATAGCTATAGATAATATATTATTTCGTAAACAGAAAACATCATTATTTTGATACAACAATAACATTGATTGATTTTTATTCATTGTTAGAAAGAGAAACCAAGTGTAGTTGAAGTAGCTCAAATGCATAAACGAGTTTTGGTTGCTTTGAAAGCCACAGAGAGTAAAGAGGCTCGGTTATTGGAAAAAATACAACAATACCAACAAGCAGTAGCAGATATTGCTAAGAAAGTTAAAGAAGTGGAAGCTGATATTGCTAAAAGTCGAAGGGAATCTAAAATTGATGAAGCTGGCTCAAAATCAAAACTGCCATCATTAGATTCGGCTTTGGTAAGAAATATATTTCAATTGTAACGTTCTTCTAATTTGTGGTACACTATATAATTGGAACTCCAATCTTGTATTTTTTGCCTCTGATTGTTTGTGAAATAATGTCTGTCATTATAAGGAAAAAGCTTCTAATATAGAAAAGGGTATTCTTGTGATAAAGACAACCCGTTTATAGTTCAGCGAAATAGTCGAACGATTCAATCAATCCAATAAGGTATGCAACTTGCCAAAAAAGGCCATTTCTGGACTAGTCTCTTTTTTAAATTGCAGGGATCACATAAGAACTAGGGTCAATGAGAAAAGTGCTGAGCTGTAATTATCTTTCATCTGATTCAAAACTACAAACAATTTTTTACAACCCATTGATTCATATTCCATAATCTCTGAGTCCATGCAGCCTAACATAATAGAGTTTGATGGTGTTTTGTAGGAAGATTTCAAGGTGCCAAAAAAGTCTTCTATTGGAAACCAGGCTATGTTTCTTCATCAACTATACAAATTAAAAGATGAACTGAATATGTTGAAGAGTAATGTGTACAAAACAACCACACCCATATCCTCTGTTGTTGATCAAATCTTACCAAAATTGAAAAATGTACCAGTGGAAAAAACTATGCAATCAAATTCTGTTGGACTGAAGAATTCACAATTCACACAAATGGTCACAACCCAATCTAGTGTTAAAACAGAAAAAGTGGTCACACACAATACGACTATGATTAATGAGAATATAACACAACCAAACAAAGAAAACCATGAGAAACCCATCAAGAAACCTGAAAATAATTTTTCAGTCCAGGGCGCAGTCAAAGTATTAAAAAAACCTGAAACCAAATCGATAAAGTCAACTCTCAAGCAACTTGTCGAAAAAGATAATCCGATAACCAAGTCGTCAAAAATTATTGTTCCTAGGAAACCTGAGCTTTTGGACAATGCAATAGTTCCTAAGCTCGATATCAAACCCTTGGATCCCTATATCACTAACAATTTCAAGGCAGATAATGAACTCAAAGCACCATTTACAAATGACGACTTGAATCAGGCAAAATTCAAGAATGAAATAAAAACCTTGGCCGAAAAGAAAATTAAAAATAACAGAAAATTATTAGTGAAGAAATTAAACCATGAGATAGCAAGTGATATTGGTAAAAAAGATCAAAAAAGAAATTCCAAGACGGCATCATTATCAGTCCGTCTGTGATAGAGGATTTATAAAACATTGTTTGAAGTTTGATGATAATTTTACCCAGGTGGCCTTTACCACAAGAGTGTAAATTGTCAAAAGTTAGTTTCTAGATTGAAATCAGATATTATTTTGTATGTAAACGTTCATTAAAAATATTGTAAAATAATTATATTATTATATTCCTTATGAAGAATTAGTTTCTCAATTCTGAAAACTTTACAATCCAACATATTTCCGTATAACGGGAACTATATCTGAAACCTTTCATCAACTTAATACCACGTTTGACCCAGATCTAATAAATAATATGTACTTACATACAGAAGATCAACATAAAAAAAAACTTGGACGCTAACTTGGACGCGTTTTACTTCGTCAACTCCAAAATCATTCTTCCAGTCTAATATCCAATTTCGAACTTGAATGAAATCTCAATCTATGAATCATGCATACTAATAATTCTCATTAAAAATCAGAAAGATATGTAGCCTTTTATCGCGTTTACAAGCCAAATATGAGGCGTTTTTATTACGTCAAAGGCAATAACTCCAAAATAGTTCAACCGATTATTACCGATTACATATACCAAGTTCATCCAGAAGATTAAGAACTGTACATTCCAAATTTGAAATTTACCCAGATCTCATGCATACTAGATTTCATCAGATCGAATAAAAACTGAAGACTCTACTAAGTCAAGGGTAATAACTCCAAAACTTTTCCGCTGGTTATTACCAAATTCGAATTTGACTGAAATCACATCAATACATACATTGTATGTAGCCTATACATTTCAACAAGCTCGGATAATATCTATAGCCACCATTGTCTCTACAAGGCATGTGCACAGACGGAAGGAATGGGGTTACGGCAATATAAGGCCACATTTCCATGTGGACGTATAAAATCAAAAAGATCTGTGTTTTATTTAGGCCTACTTGTTGAAATATAAATCAGCATTGTTAATCGCATTGTTAATATAGGGTTAAATGATTTAGGAAGGATTACGTAACAGGAATGTAAACATACAGAGATTGATTAGATTCTGTCAGATACCACCAGTTCTGAGACAAGCACTTCACGAGTAAGATGCTTTATGTTAGGGCCACGTCTCAAATTTCAAATTATCACATTTGTAACACTAAATTTACGTATGAAAAGCTGTAACATCGCGAAGCGTTGAGGCCGCTGATAGAATTGTATGTAATATAACTGCAAAATGTTGTTTAATCTGTTCCCAACGTTTATCTGGATCGGTAGCTTTCTCAATTTCAAACAATAAATCTACTAGACCGGGAAAACTGCTAGAGGCATACGAATCGTACGCACTCTCGGCTATAACCATGTGTCTGAAATATATTTAGAGAATTTGTGGTGTACTACTGGTCTCGATTACCACATTTATCAGATATAATGTATAATATATAAGCTTGAGTTGACTGAAAAGTTGTTCATCTTTAATTGTATATCTCAATTGGATTGTAACAAACTTTTGTCACCAACAAGTACAGTATATAGGCTACTATTATTATCGGCTTAGTGCGGGTCAGATCTCTTGATAGCAGAATAGAAACGTGTATAATAAAATTAATTCCCGATTTTGCTAAAATGTTTTTTGTATGTTTTAGCCAGTCGCCATTTTGCTAGTTATTATGATGTCATTTCCTGTGTGAATTTAAGGGTGGCTGTAGAGAATAGAAGATCAAGATTGGTTATTTCCCATTATTCATTTGGGATGTCTTAATCCAGACCTGGTAGTACCGCATGTTTGTTTTTATCTATGTTTCTAAGAAGGTAATTTGGATAGGAGTTAGCTAGGCCTACATGTAAATCAATTCCATTGAAAATTCCAGTGTAGGCCTATTTGTGCGTGTTTTATATGACTTACTTTTTTAAAGGTCTCATAGGTAATCCAGCTGGATCTAAAAAGGCTTTTTCCAGTAGAACCAACTGGTCATTTATTAGTCTCGTTAGTATAGGACTGAAAAAAGAATAAGTAACTATTCATAAACACACCGAAATTCATTTGTAGATCACAGTTTATATTCATTGCTTAAACCGACGGAAGTGACGACATTTAAATGTAGACCTATTACTTTGCTTCCCTGTGATGAAGAGCAGAATGAGTCAATAGTTTGATAGTGTCGGTGATAAGAGTACTTGATGAAAAAACATCAGCTTACTTATTTTTATCCACATTTTTCATTCGTTCTCCAAATTCGTCTGCCGCTCTATCAAAATGTTGAATTACTTTCTCTAAATCATCTGTAACAAAACGTTAGCCATATAATAATGTAGGATTCGGGGATTCTATCTTTAGTTTGATCACTGGCACAAACTTTTGATATACAAAAGTAGCCTGTCAGGAAGTTAAGCTAGCTATACTAAGCCTATATCATCTACACCGGTATCTCTCAATATTTAGTACCCATCTCAATTCGGATAGTTTTGGACGATTTCTTCGTCATGCCTCATGAACTGGTGCTATGTTCAGTGGAGAGGTTCAGCTGATAAGACAATTTGAAGATCAGAGAGTTCATTTTGGAACTGTTGCTCAACTTCTCCCCTATTCACAAAATTCCTTCATTTGTGTATATATATGTATTTCTGCCCCGATTCCTCGATCCCTTTTAAGTCTCGTCGACCCCAGTTGAGAAGCACTGATAAATACCATCGTTCTGTACTCCAATGATTTCACCTTGTTCTATTTTGAATATTATATTGTCGTCCGCGATCAAACCGAGAATGAGTTTGGTTATCACGACAAATCTTCGCCTGAAGGAACGCGGATCTACGATAATCCCGCACTGGACACCATGCATGGTCTAATCGCACCTTAATAATGGAAAGGGTACTTCCATATTTTATTTATTTCAGCCATTTTTTTCATCGTATATATAATCATCATATAATCAGTGTTGAATTTTATTGATGACCTTAAAATATACACTTTCTACCAAAAGAAGTTCCTTTTTAATATCCAGAATCAACAAAAGGTCTGTTAGAGGAATTTGTATTATAACTCACCATAATTTTCTATCTTGGCTCTCATTTTATCTCCATTTTCCTTATCAAAAGCTACTCGAAGGTTTTCCAAAGACCAGGCATAATCAGAAACATTGAATGGTATAATTAAAGAGTCTGCTAAACTCCTGGCTAATTCAACACCAACTTTAGCAACTGCTCCATGATACTGAAATAGTTCATTGAATAAATCATGAAAAAAAAATTTTTAAGTCTTTAATACTGAAATATCAAAAATAATATTCATGTTTATGATATTAAACAGTTTCAAATGTACGTCTATTACAAACACAGAAGATATATACGCCCAATGGCAGCTTTGATTTTAAATAAAAATATTTGGCAGTACAGTAACATTATCAGTATGAAATATTCAACCTTCAGACATACACTTCTTTTGAACTTTTTGAGGCGATACTGAATAATATGACCAATTTCATCAAAATCTGTCAAGAATTGGGCCTTCTAGAACGCGTTTTTAAGAACAAGGGAAATAACATTTTTCGATTTTTCTGATTTCGTTAGGGTTCATCTTTGGGTGATTACATACACTCACACCAACTTTCGTCAAAATCCATCCAGAATTGTGCCTTGTAGAGTGTTTACGTACTACAAATTAAACGCATTTTCAAGAACAAGGGCAATAACTCATACCAATTATTTTTCGATTTTTCTAATTTTCAATAGGGTTCATCCTTAGGTGAAAACAAACACTCACGCCAGGTTTCGTCAAAATCGCATGAACGCATGCTGATATATGTCATATAGTGTATATAATATAGTTTCAATTGTTTGAAGATAGCAAAGCGTGAAACTCTGAGTAACAACATGATTCAAATTCTGTTTTAATATTTCTAGTTTATATATATGTCACTGGAATAGTTCAAAATCAGTTCAACTCGATGCAACTAACGTGCGTACGAACAATCACAAAGTAAACTGTAATAAGTGTTATTGCCTCTGCCAGTTTGTTCCGTACGTCAAGAAACAGTCCACGGATTCAAAATGGATCAACATCTACAGAGATGTGTTTTAGGTCTAACTTACCTCAAAATCAGGATCGATGATATTTTTTACGGCATAAAAAGTTTCATACTGTGAATGATACAGAGGATAACCGGATATGTTATAAGCTTTCTGAAAATATCGGAATTAAATGATATTTATAAACAAATGTTACAATGGTAAAGATATATAAATTTGAAATTCAATTAAGCAGATCATTTCTAAATATTAAAATATTCACTACTGAGATGTAATAATTCTATAAAGAATATCTAAATTATTCGTCCAAAATATCAATATACTACCTCGTAGGATGACCAAAAATTGAATTTTTTTTAAACTTGGCCAAAATGAGTCTTTGTTCATCAATAGACTTATACCTGATGTCAAAACTATACGATAGGATTGTTTTTCAATAATTATTTAGTTTAATGGATATAAGTATCGCGTTTCTATTCTTACCTAATGGCACCTTATAAGTCCAACTGATGAATATACTGTATACTCTAATTGACAAAGTTTGAGTTTCCATTCTAATAGGTAGCATTCCTTTGAATAGTAACATAATATCTAAAAAGTAAAATCATACCTTATCATAAGTATATCTAAAATCAACTGAAGTTACTCCTGCTCTCTGTAAAATCGGTGCGTAATCACTACCAGAACCCATCGACTCCATTCTGAAAATGAAATTTGGCCTCAAAATCACAAGGTAGGCAAGGAATCTACGAGAGGTATTCATCTAAAAATGAAATGTGGGCAACGCCTTGCAAGAGAGCAATGAGGGACACTTTGCCAGAACAGTGGCATTAGCCTGCTCTTTTTCGATTTCCAACTGTCGAGGAATCTTTAACGTGCACAGTCTGTAGCACACGGGGCCTCGTGGCAATGCGGCTCATTGTCTGCCTGCAGCATTAGAACAATAGATATATCATGACTACAAGAAAATCTTCGAGCATCCAGATTTGGCGTGCCTTTGAGCTGAAACCGACTGATTTTCTGATTTAAAAAAAATCCACAGAATTATATTGGAATAAAACTAAATCTAGATAAATGAAGATTCAATGGCATCGTGTCATAATCTGCTAGCTATTTCTACACGATAATGTCGTATAACAAAAATAATATTTTTGATAACTTACTGTGGTAGATTATGAGATTGATTGTTTATAGTCCAAGGTCTGTTATATAACCATGTATCATACACTGACTTCCTTCCTGCTGTAACTTCTTCTGGGTTGGGATTTTCTACCTGGTGAACACAGAATCAACACCACATACTGGTACTTGCCATAATTATATCGAATTGATTAGAGTCATGTTGTCGAGACGTGTTTCAGTAATGTTATCATTATAAGGACAACTAGTTTGGAAATGAGAATTTATCGTATCGTATGCGCCAAGTGACATAATATGCACAATTTTTTGATCAATCAAACTTGAATCTAAGAAATGGAATTTTTTTAACTAAGCCAATTAGTAACAGCGTTCACAGCTCACTGTCGAAATTTGAGCCTTCATATCCATTTGTGTCCAGAATTATTCGCGTTTGAAATTAAAAAGACCAGTCGTCTTTTTTAAGACACTGCCATATATAGAAAAGACATCTATAGAAATAGGAAAAGAAATAATGCGATTTTCGTACATTTCTAGTACTTAGTACTTACTGAAGAATATTTATTATATATATATTCAAGACTCGAATAACCCCCCTCCCCCCTCTTTTTCCAAATGGCAAACCTGTAAAGCAAGAACATACAAGTATCTATCTGATATATCAGCTTATTATAATAATACTTGATGATATTTATATTGCATTAAAAATTACATTAAAAATTTCAATGTATAGCCTAGGCCTAATCATATTATAATATATCTCATTTTTTACCATTTTTGTTGCTTCGTATACAGCTCTATACAATAATGGCGTTGTTTTAGATCTAAGTGTGTCTGTTCCTAAAAATATAACAAAATTCGTGATTGATTATACAATATTTTTCACGATTGAAGATTTCTATTAAATGGTTAAATGAGTACAATAAATGTTAAAATAATTTACCTTCAACTGAAATGTCTATATTCAAGTAAGCTACTGCCCTCTCTTTTAAATTCTTTATATATTCCTGAAAAAGTATATGAGTCAAAGAGAGCCATATTTGGTTTTGTTGGTTCTAATATAGATTCTCACATCATCATGAAACGGGAAACAATGAAGGCAGGCAACGCCATGTTGGCTGCTCTTTTTCGATTTCCAACTGTCAAGGAATCTTTAACGTGCACAGCCTGTAGACGCTTTATTACAAGTCAGCCCCCCTTACCTCCATCACTGACAGAGGAGCTGGGTTGGAAAATCCGAAGGCATTATCTCCTGGATTGAACCATGGACCTTCAGCTTAGTAAGCAAGCGTCTATCTCATTGAGCCACCGCGGACCCAGATGTTGACAGTTATGTAAATATTTTTTAAGAATAATACCGACCTCAACCCATTCTGTCGATCCTATTAACCCATATTCTTCAGCTGCCCAACTACAGAAGACAATAGATCTTCTTGGTCTCCATTTTCCTGATTTCACTAAGGCAGCTAAAGCTCTAGAAGTCTCCATCATAACAGCTGTTCCACTAGAGGGATCTATGGCACCATAAACCCAGGCATCACGATGATTGCCAAACAGTATATATCTATCTGGAATACAAGTATTTTTTGTATTTTTTTCATCAAAACTATTTGATGCTGTAATTGTTTCCCCTCTATTTGGGAAATAATATTGATTCGATTTGAAGACAGATGCATTTATTCCAGTAAGTTACCCCAAAATTCAGGCCAGGAGCAGAAGAATTCTTTGGAACCTAAGTTGAAAAAAGCGTTTGTTAGTGTTGTTGACGATATATTACTGCCAACGAATAATCCCTCTAATATCTTCAATATCACATGTGTTTTGAATTGCATTTTGTTTTTACCTGGTTCAATTTTCCCTTTGATAAAACCAATGACATTTGTAGAGTTTTTACGAACATTTGTAGTCGAGATATTCATTCTTATTTTCCTGTAAATTATGTATCATGTATTAATCGAATGATCGAAGATGAATTGGATTCAACTTTAAATTTGGCATGAAAAATGTTTTTGTTTTCATTTTGCCACAAGGCTTGGCTGATGTCACAGCATACTGCCGTATTGTTTCTGCTCGATGGCTTGACAGAAAAAGGCTGAGAGAACTATTAGTTGATAGGCTGACGAGTGCCCGTGCAAGAACCGCTTTGTACGTTAGTAATAATTGAATTAAGTTTTCTGTGGGTTAGGATTTTCTTAATCCTTCCATAACAAATTATATTTCTAAATCCTGAATTTAAATTCAGAATGTGGTTCAGACATTGTCCTGTCATCTTTTTTTACCCGCAAATCTTACCAGTTATTATCAATAAAACCCGGTCCATATCTATAAGTTATATTTATTCCACCTCTCCACTTATCAGGAACTTCGTCTCCTGTCATATTTCTACAAAACACAGCAATATTTTCTTGTAAATGGTTGAGTTTGTAGGAAGTGTATTGAAGTCGGTTATTGATAACCAAGCCAGATTAATATCTTGAGTGAACGATGATAGATGCTTTCAAGTTATAAATATAAATATAATTGATGTATAATTTAGACACCTACATCAAAAGTTCTCTAGCTACAGTATAACCTATTGGATGAGCTGGTATCTTAGGCAGAGGAGGTTTAACTTCCGATTCTCCGTAACGATATGCATATTCTGAAAAGTAGAGTATTTGAAGATATTGCTGGACCTAAAAGTATTTGAACCATATTTTCTAAACTGAAAATACTAACTAAAAAGAGAAAGCAGGTAAATGAGAGAACAGCAATTTCAAACAGAAGAACAGCAATTTCAAAACAGAAGAACAGCAATTTCAAAACAGAAGAACAGCAATTTCAAAACAGAAGAACATCAATGAAAAACAAAAGGACAGCAATAAAAAAGAAAAGAACAGTAATGAAACAGTAATAACACTCAAGCAAAGCAAAGAACAGTAAGGACAAAAAAGGAGAACATTTATGAAAAAAGAAGAAAACAACAGGACAACAGTGATGCCAAAACAGTTAAAAAAAAAGCAGTAAACTTGAGAACATTTCTATCAACGGTAAGTGGTGTGCTATCAATCCAAAAATTGTCATTAAATGCAAATCTTTTATTAATTTGGCAATATGTGAATCAAGAACGACGGGTTTACCTGTTGCAGGATATCCGGGTGTTAAGGGGTCACCACCACCAGTAAAAATAGTTCCTCTTTGAGCACCGGATCCTGGTAGCCACCAATCGTCTGGATAAACATTTTGTCCGTCTACGGCATAATCTGATGGATCTGAGAACAGGATCAAACCTATGGCACCATGTTTCTGTGCTATGTCTACCTGAAGGAATGCCATTTTCATGAATGAAAACCTTTTCTGTTCTATAGGACAATGACACGATAGTAAGAACAAAATACTGTAGGCCTACCTTATCAGGATTAAGAAAAAGAGTCACTAAATTATAGAGTTTTGGAATATTTTTTTCTGAAGGTTTAAGAAATGAACCTAATTCTGCAACTCCAGCAAGTTTTCTTTATGTGTATCTTCTGACTATTATATAACTATACCTTAGAGCCTCTGAATATTCTCCCATATCTAGATATGGCTACACATCCAGTAACATTTATTCCTGCTTTCTGTAGTTCTATATAGTCTTCTACTCTACCATAGTTAACATATACTAAATTGCCCTAGAACACAACAAACTTACAATTTATTTTGTTGTTTACAATATATAGTATTAATATACCAAACTACATTAGAATATGCATATGATATACATACAATGTATTGAGTTATGATAACTAAACCATTTAGTTATTATATACAAAATTACTCTAAAATACCATTATTGGGTTATAAAAAAAAACATAAAAAATATTGTAATATAATGTATTTATAAAGTATTTAGTATTAATATAACAAATTACCATAGAACATGGTAATTATACAATTCGACTTGGTTGATTGATAACACTTAGTATGCATTGATTTTTGTATTATATTTATATACAAATGTAATTTATCTAACAACACTGGATTACACAGTGGACAATCTGTATCTCATACAATGCCCGTTAAAGGTACCAAGAAAAGTATGCTACAAAACAAACACAACACATACCTCCACAATACCTTTAGGAGAATAAGCATTAAAAGGTGGTATTCCTTCGGTATTATTCTTGCCCGGTGTTAAAACATCTTCTTCTATCGGTGTTCTATAGATAATTTGTTCAGATCCATCCAATACCTCAATAAAATTAGGGTTGTCCATATCAGGATATGACAAGAGAATGTCGTATGGTGCCATCTGAACTTCATCAAAACCGACATCTAACCAGAATTGTCTGATATATTCTGCCAGGTCTTCATCCTCAACAGATCCAGCAATGTGGGGCTTTTCTGTTAACCGACTGAAACAGAAAATTTGGAATAAATGTTTCAAAAATGCTTTCTGAGTGTTCTAGAAGATATTATGACGTTCTTTTAATTTCCCATCGCCCAATATTTACCAATTGTACTTTTTTGTCACCTTAGCTACAAAAAAGGCTATTTCACATTTATAGTATCTAAAATTAGAAATCTGTCGACATTTAAAACAAACCTTAGATACTTTTCTATGTTTTTATTATCTATACTCTTTAACAGAGTATCTCTAATTGATAATTCAGCATCTTGTATAAGAGAATCAGGCACACCAGGGAGAAATACACCATCTTTCTGCGGGGCTTCTGTAACACTTGATGACTCGGAAGATGTGCTACAAATGGCATACCGTCCTAGTAAAATACCTATCACAAACGCCACTATGGCTAAAATTATAGCAATAATCCATATCTTTCTGGTTGATGGTTTTTGAATGCTATGTTCAAAGCCGTCCATTGATTCAAACCTTGGCATGGTTGCGGATTTCTTGAGATCACAGAGTCAGAATTTAACAACTGAGATTTGTCTACGTCGTTTCTAATCTATTAAAATATGCCTTTATCTGTGATTACTGAAATAAAAATTGATATCTTATGATATATTAATTGCAATTCAGTTCATATCCAATGACAAAAGTCAATTAGTGAACACATTCAAACGTTATAAACTACAATTTACCACCAATAAACGACTAGCCAATATTACCACATCTTCACAATGTCACAAGCTACTCCGAACTTCGTGTTATACGAATGGTCACCTTTCTTGAATCGCGGAAGTTTGTAAATGCAACAATTTGATTGGAGTCCTTTTAATTTGTCATCTACCTACCTACCATCTTGACATTGTGAAGATGATATTACAACACCATAACACTAGTCAGCCTCATATTCTTAATTTGAGCTGATGGCGTTAAAACAGACCGCAGTCTAATTGTGGTGAAGCTTACTTCAGAAAATTATTTCTGTAACATGTCATGTCATGTCATGTTCTGGATATGTCATGAAAAGTCAGTCAACCAATGATGTGTATTGGAAACCATCATCACCAACTCCCAGAGGATGCAACCCGCATCAAAGAAAGCACCGTGATATGGAAAGTATAGCTTGTCTTTAAAACTACCATGGGACATTATTATTACTTACACGACTGCATTTTCTTAGTAACCCTTGATTCCATTGTGGCATCTTTTATTAATCTCTAGTGCTCTTTGGATTCATATTGTTAACTCATTGTCATTATTGATATAAATAATAGTAAATATTACATTGCTTCATCAGAGTACCTTCAGCTATACTACCTCTATAGAATGAACATAATATTAAGATTTTCAAACTGTGCCAATACCCCTATATCATCTGAAAGCGCCATAAAGCTAACTAAAGAAGTAATTATTGGAAAACAATTAGATAGTTCATGGATTTATTGGATTATACAAGGAGTCAGTGAGTGAACACTTTTTGTGTCGGATATATTATTTCTTTGCATCATAGCGAATATACAAGTGATTGTACGATTTATCTCAAATAGACGGTGGTCAGAACCTCTACTACCAGGGTCATAAATACAGCATAAAGAGTAGGAGGGGAGAACTATAACTTCCAGTGGGATATTAGCAACTTACTGAAATACCCTCAACCATATGGCTTCACATTTTAAGATTATTGATGATGAATTCCTTTTGCAAATGTAAAAGATATGGCTAGAGCAGATTGTATACCAATTCCACCCATCTACCTGGAGGGAATCATAAGTAAATTTTTATCTCTACATGTTCATGAATATTTTTATTTAATAGTATTTATTAGTTCGGAGCATCTATATTTTACCATATTCTAACGATTCGTTCTCTTATTAGAACTGTGAGCTGTTGAAGACCCTGATATAGTATATAATAAGCTGATTTGAATACAAATGTTTTATTCATGTTTAAATTAAATTAATGTATAGATTCATAGATTTATGAATGATTTCAAATAACAATCCTTTCCACTCCAAGCCAAGGTCCATAACTCCCGCAGCCCCCTCTTGCCAGCATACATTTTTAATATCAGATGCAGTGTTGCCAGATTATATTATCATAAAGGATAATACCATATCCCCATCCTTATAAGAAAAAAAAAGAAAAAAGAACAAAAAAAGTCTAACGTTATAAAAAAGAAAAAAAAACACTTGTAAAATTAAGTAAGTTTACAAAGTCATCAATAAAATATCTTGGATTTCGTCTACGGTTACGAGGTTCAGGTGGTGCAATATTACCATCATCTTGTTGTTGGTATTCTAATAATGAGTCTCCAGAATCGTCATCATTTAATCCGTGGTTGGCACGAGTCTCACATAACTCATGCCAACGTTTGATAACCTCTTGCTCTGTAAGTGGTTGTGATTTTGGGACAATTTCTTCATCGATGACGCATTTCTTTATATCATCAGGGTGTCGGGTGAACATTCTACCATCTTTCTGTCTTTCCAGCAGGATGAATGAGCCAGTGTCGTCAACATGTGTGACTTTGCATGAGTCAGGTAGAAAGGTTGGATGAAACTTAGATGTTTTGTTGTAGTTTCGTAATAATGCTCGATCCCCAATTTTAAATAAACTTTGGTAGCGATATTTGGAGTCATTGATTTTCTCGGCTCGCCTATGTTTGATAAGTCCGTCACGATGTCTAGCTTCCTTGACCTGAGAATCAGAAACCGTCATGCGAGGAAACACAGATTGATGACCATCGCGAAATAACATAGACGATGGTGCTATTCCAGTAGCTGGATGAGGGGTATCACGATAGTTAGAAAGGAGTTGTGATAAAGCTGTCCGTTCTGATTGATTGTTATAGTTACTAAGTTTCATGGTTTTTCCAAGGGGTTTCATAAATGTTTCAACAGGATTTGCAGCTGGATGTAGTGGTGGAATCTTTTGAAGAGTAATGTTCCTTTCCGTCGCAAAATCAGACATATCCCTGGAATTAAAAGGAGGTCCATTATCGGATAGTTGAAATTCTGGATTCCCAAAAGAGTCGTATATGTCAGCCAATGCTGGTAACACCTTTCTTGACTTAGTCGATGATACAATCTTTGCTACTGGAAATCGTGACGCAATATCTTGAACGACCACGACATGATGTGATGATGGCATTGGACCAAATAAATCAACAGATACAGTTTTCCAGCATTTTGAGGGAACATGGTGTGCTCTAATGGGTTCACTCGTTTTCTTGTATGTAAATATCAAACAATCTTTACAAGTACTAACGAAATTCTGAACTTCTCCTTCATATCATGAAAGAAAAAATGAGACCGTAGACGACGCTCAATGCCACTCTGCCCAGGATGACTACCACGGTGAGCTAATTGTATGGCCAATTCTTGTAAAGATTCTGGAAGAATCATACGTTCACCCTTTAGAAGAATGTTATTATTTGATATGGTGAGTTCATGTAGAATCGATTTAAATTTCAAAAGTTTCTCGCTTGCATCCTTTGGTATCCATGTTTGTCCAGCACGCACTAGCTTTTGTAGCGCCTGTAATGTGACATCCAATGATGTACCAGTTGATATTTTGCCCAGGGAAATAAAGTCAATGATAGGAGTAGCGTGAATCGTGTACAGTAAATTATTTAAATCATTAACTTCATGTTTTTCATCGTCTGGAAGGACTTGATAAGGTGTGGCGTTTCTAGACAAAAAGTCAGTTTGATTATCCTTGCCATTTTGGTAAAGCACTCGGAATCGTATATCTTGGTGACGTAGTTTTATGCGTTCGGTGCGAATCGACCCTTGTCGATTTCCATTAAAGACTGAGCACAATGGCTTATGATCAGTAACAATATGTATGGTTGTGGGTGCTCCAACCAAATAATTTCTAAATCGACGGAGTCCAAATTCGAGACCAAGAGCCTCCAAATCTAACTGAGGATATCGAGTTTCAGCAGAATTCGTAGTGCGTGATGCAAATGCTACTGGTTTAGCAGTGCCCAAGCTGTCACCCTGAGCTAACATAGCGCCCAGGTCGGTTATATGTGCGTCGGTAAATACATATATAGGTTTGTTAAGATCAAAATAACGTAAAAGAACATCTTTACGAAAAGCACTTAATAGATTCCTAAAACACCTCTCGTGCTCACTTTTCCACACAAATCGAACACGGCCTTTCGTTAATTCACGCAAAGGAGCTGATCGACAGGCAAAATTAGAAATGAAGTCAGAGTTTGATTGCATCATACATAAAAAACTAACTAACTGCTCTTTGTTTGTGGGTGCTTTCAAATGTTCCAAAGCTGACACTTTAGAAGGGTCTGGTCGCACGCCATCGGCACCAATTATCATACCCCAGAAGTCGATTTCTTTTTTTCCAAATGTACACTTTGATGGATTCAAAGTTAGACCTGACCTTGAGATTGCCTGCATAACAAGTTCAAGAGCCTCGTCATGCTCCTTGCGATTTTTAGCCGCAACAATAAGATCGTCGTGAATAAGATGAGCTTGAGGAATGTGGGAAAATATAGGCTTTAGGGCTACATTTAGTTCACCTTGTGCTGGTTTTATTCCCATGGTAAGGCGTTGGTAACGATAAAGTTTGTCGTTAGCATGGAATACAGTTAGAAAACTTGAATCAGGATGGAGTTCCACTTGCCAAAACGCGGATTTAAAGTCCATTTTGGAGAAAATGGTCGAGCCTGATAACTGGGCTTTGATATCTTCTTGTCGTGGTATAGGTAGGTTTGTAGACCGAATAGCTTTATTGACGTTGCGTGCATCTAAAGTCACTCGAATTTCACCAGATGGTTTTGGTGTAATTACAGCACAAGAAATCCACGGTGCAGGTTGGTTTGAGGGATGTTTTTCTATAACATCTTGTTTGATCATTTCATCGATAGCACAGTGAACACGTTCTTTTAGGTGATAGGCTACAGGTCTTGGCGGCACATTTACAGGTTTGACGTTAGCATCAAAATGCAGCTTTACCTGGTGGTGTCGTAATTTTCCCAACCCAGTGAAATTTTCTGGATAGTGGGTAAGTATCTTTTGTAATGAAATTTTTGAGACGTCATCAGCTGTTTTATCCATGCTATGTATAGGAAAAAATGTTTCTGCTTTTGGACTGAAATTGATGATTCCAAGTTGTAAAGCTTTGTCGCCAGATAAAATTGGTTCACAGAAACCAGAAATAACATGCCACTCAACAGGTACAGAAATAGATCCAAAAGTGACGGAACAAATAGCATTTCCATGCACAGCGATAGGATTACTCATATAAGGTTTTATGCGTACTTTAGAGGATACCAATTTATCCAGAAGATTCCATCGTTTAGCTTGTGATGTTCCACACACACTTACACATGCACCAGTGTCTGCCACAACATGGTCCAGTTGATTGTTTATGATAACAGATGAAAGTAATTTGGGTTGAACTTTATTTGTTTGTACTCTAAATAAATTGATACTGAAAATATCCTCTGCTTGTTCATAATTTTGCTCCGATATATCAATGCACTTCAAAGGTTTGCCACTTCTACAGACAGAAGAAAAATGTCCAATTTCTGAACATTTCTTGCATGTTACATTGCGAGCTGGACATCTAGATCTTCACAACAAAGCACTAGTGACAACTGTGTATCTCTGAGGTACCTTTATGTGGTGAACGTTTAGTGTAGCCCCAGAGATGTTCCACCAACTTTATATGCCTACTGTTCATGCCCTTGTTGAAGGGAAAATGTTTCCTCTATTGTATGTCCTCCTGTAAAGGAGAATTCATGATATCAGAGACCTGATGCCATTGCAATTGAAGCTGCTAATAATGTATTGAGCACTATTTTAACAGTGAAAATATTTTATTATTGTACATGTAAATGTCTATAAATGTGTCATATGGTCGATAGAGTTATCATTTGGAATATATTCTACCTCTCTTTGCCAGCATTCAGTCAATTCATTTGCGTTTAACCTTTTGTTTGTTTGTGGCTTATCTTGGAAGATTAGCCTAGGCAATGAAATTTAATACACCCCGTATACTAATGACACTAGGTAAGTCTACTGATGAATATAATATACTCTTATTGGCCAAGTTTGAGAAGTTGAATTTTATATGCACTCTCAGAGGTAGTCTCTCTTTAATTCGTTTCTGAGGACGGTGTTAACATCACATTGAAACGTTAAAAGTAATCAATATTTTAGAATCACAATTCATAGTCACAGTGTGTTTTATTAATATAATTATGCAAAACATATCTGTCATGTCAACACAATTGATTTCAATCTGTGTCATATTGCCCTACTTCAAATAATATCATAAAATAAGTTACTAAAATATATCATAATACTTCCTGGATTGTTTAAAACCGGTCTTTGTGTTTATTTAGTTTGACCCCAAACCTGTTATCCGCCGACACTTCACAAATATCAAGGATGGACACCTGATGTAGGTCACCATCCTTCACACAATATAGAAGAGTGTGGAGAATAGAAGATAATATGTAGCTTCATATATCTACAATAGTTAATACAACATAATGCTAATTTCCTAGGACCAGAAGCTGCCATTGTTCTCATTTAAACAGTCATAGTTTCGCGACCAAGAACAACACCCCCATCCTCTTAGTCAGGTCATATCCATCTTACACTGCAATACTTATACACTGAAGAATTAAGTCAAAAACAAAATATTTAATTCTAATTGTTAAATTGACTATCATGTTGAAATTGATTCGAGCTTTTCAAGCGTTGTATATCATTCAACAGCTTAAACTTACCAAATCTCACCAAGATATTTTAAAACGTCATTTAAGATCAGAAAAGTTGTGGTTTTGGAGTCGTTCAGCTAAATTTCCGCGCAAGATGACAATATCAATTTACAAACCACTGTGGGTAGGATAACACCATTTCAATCTATTTTCTTTCCAGCTTACCTAACCTACTACAACCACTATCTTAAAAATTGCGAAATTTGCATACCTATAATTGAATAATCATCTTCATTTGAATATCACACAAATCGATATTCTAAATAATATCTTTTGTTACATTTGCGATCAAAGCCGATTTACAGCTAAACTAAATAATATTCTTACCCACCTGCCTCCTTTAGTGTCCTGTTCTGTAATGAAACCAACCTAATGTGACGACACTGTTTATGAGAATCTAAGAGGAGATAAGATAAATAAGGTTTTGTTTGCTTGTATAAAATTTTATGGATAAAAAAATAAGTAAACAGATTTTACGAGATTGCATTTACCTTGGCAATTAAATCGATACTATAGGATTCCAGATAGAAGGAAATATATGAAACACCGATTTTCGAAATCAGGCAATCTAAAATTAGTTTGTGTTTACATGAAAAATCTACCAAGTGTATCTGTCAAGTGTGTGCTTACCTTGAATGTTGCATCATATTTTTGATTTATACAATGGGCGGATTAGGTTTTATTAACAATAAACCTCTGTATCATCATAGTTATTCATTCACAGGTGAAATGTGAGTGATAGAGAGAGTATTATAAATTATAATCACGACAATATATTCGGTGACATGCACAAGTGATAACGGATGGTGAAACAGTTATCAAACATGATAATTTACTGAACGGATCGAAGATTGAAGTCGAACAAATATTTGTGCATACCCGGATATTCAGAACATAAACACTATCTGTCGAATTTTTATTATCTTCTATGTACCATAAATTGCACTTTAATACGCCCACATGGAAATGTCGACGTATATTGCTGTCGCCCCTGTCCGTCCGTCCGTTAGTCGGTCCGGCCTTCCATCCACATTTCTTGTATGCACGATATAGGCTACAATTTTTATTTGATATGGATGGAAATTGGTATGCATGTATATATTGATGAGGTCTTAGAGGTTTTAGAGTTTTTGCCCTTGTCATATTAAAAACGGGTCAAAGTTTGGCTTGTAGGAAAGTTTTTTATTCGATCTTGATGAAATTTGATATTGATGAAATCTCAGTCGATTTCGAAATTGGTAATAATCAGATGAACGGTCTTAGAGTTATTGCCACTGTGTGCGTGCGGATGAGACCTTGATGAACTGTTTTTGAGGTATTGTCTTGACTTTTGATAATTTGAACATTCATTATTAAGCCACTAAAGACTTGCTATTATTTATGACAGCTGGTAGTGGGTGTATGTTACCTTGTCTGATTCGTTACAGTTTTAGTTTGTTATTCAGATGAATTTGATTCACGATTCGTTACAGTTTTAGTTTGTTATTCAGATGAATTTGATTCACGATTCGTTACAGTTTTAGTTTGTTATTCAGATGAATTTGATTCACGATTCGTTACAGGTTTAGTTTGTTATTCAGATGAATTTGATTCACGATTCGTTACAGTTTTAGTTTGTTATTCAGATGAATTTGATTCACGATTCGTTACAGGTTTAGTTTGTTATTCAGATGAATTTGATTCACGATTCGTTACAGTTTTAGTTTGTTATTCAGATGAATTTGATTCACGATTCGTTACAGGTTTAGTTTGTTATTCAGATGAATTTGATTCCCGATTCGTTACAGGTTTAGTTTGTTATTCAGATGAATTTGATTCACGATTCGTTACAGTTTTAGTTTGTTATTCAGATGAATTTGGTTCAAGATAATTATGTTATACTTATAATAGTTTTTTCATATTTTTGTAACATGATTTGGAAATAACCTTGTGTATTTCACAAATGTAGCTTCGACACAAAAATTGAAGAACAAAGAATAGCCACAATTATACATGGTTATTGGTTATAACATACATGATACATAATGATTATACCATGTTATGTATCAAATCGAAATACACGATTCAAACTACGACTGAGAAGAAAATATTGAATCCAAGCTCTGAAGATTTTGTTGCACTAAATATAACCTTTCTATTGTTTTACCATGCAGTACTTTCTTTAGTTTTCCATACCTAATCTAAATCAATGAGTCAAGGGAGTTAACTTCATTTTAGAGGAATCGAAAAAGACGAGAACAGACGGACTAAGACGGTAATTTGCCTTGCCGATTTGTTAAATCACGAAATTCAACCTTCTATAACTTTTTTCAGAAATTTCGTTGAAAACTTTCCAGTATGTTACATGAAAGCCTGGCCAATACTTAGTTTCTGGATTAAATTCAATATATCATGACCATGAAATTCTTGACCACTACATTTCATCATCATCCGTTTGATTGTCACTGCACACAAAACGACTATTTTTAGAATTATCCTTCCGCATGAAAATCTCTCATCATCTTACAAAATCTAAAAGAAAATGCAATTTCAGACATCAAATGTCAAATATAGACCAAGAATTTGACAAAAATAGGCATGCAAAAAAACCAAAAAGAGAGGGTGAAAGGGATTTCTTAAAATAACACCGACTACAATTATTTACATGAAAAAAATTAGTGATCTGAGTCCAGACGAGGCATGTTTTTATAACACTGCGTACTGTGCACTCTACAGTCCTGGGTTGTCGATAAAGTTGAACTTTGATGAACCGAGGAATTTGGTATATTATAACCAAATACATTGTCATTAAATTACATTCTAGAGTAATTAGATATATTAGAACTAAATCGTTCTTTATAATAAAATCGGGGGTAATGTGTGTGTACTTTGTATGTTGTATATCTTTATATATATATTCTAGAGTAATACTCTGGTGTAATTTGGTATATTATACATTGTACTGTACATGTATGGTAATTTGCTATATCATAACTAAATACAATGTATGTATATTATACTCTAGGGTAATTTGGTATATTATCACTGGGTACATTGTATGTACATGTATTTTATACTCTAGAGTAATTTGGTATATTATCACTAGATACATTGTATGTACATGTATATTATACTCTAGGTTAATTTGGTATATTATCACTAGATACATTGTATGTACATGTATATTATACTCTAGAGTAATTTGGTATATTATCACTGGGTACATTGTATGTACATGTATTTTATACTCTAGAGTAATTTGGTATATTATCACTAGATACATTGTATGTACATGTATATTATACTCTAGGTTAATTTGGTATATTATCACTAGATACATTGTATGTACATGTATTTTATACTCTAGAGTAATTTGGTATATTATCACTAGATACATTTTATGTACATGTATATTATACTCTAGGTTAATTTGGTATATTATCACTAGATACATTGTATGTACATGTATATTATACTCTAGGGTTATTTGGTATATTATCACTAGATACATTGTGTGTACATGTATTTTATACTCTAGGTTTATTTGGTATATTATCACTGGATACATTGTATTTTATACTCTAGGGTAATTTGGTATATTATCACAGGATACATTTTATGTACATGTATATTATACTCTAGGGTAATTTGGTATATTATCACTAGATACATTGTATGTACATGTATATTATACTCTAGGGTAATTTGGTATATTATCACTAGATACATTGTATGTACATGCATATTATACTCTAGAGTAATTTGGTGTATTATCACTAGATACATTGAATGTACATGCATTTTATACTCTAGGGTAATTTGGTATATTATCACTAGATACATTGTATGTACATGTATTTTATACTCTAGGGTTATTTGGTATATTATCACTAGATACATTGTGTGTACATGTATTTTATACTCTAGGGTTATTTGGTATATTATCACTAGATACATTGTATGTACATGTATATTATATTCTAGGGTTTTTTGGTATATTATCACTGGATACATTGTATGTACATGTATTTTATACTCTAGGGTAATTTTGGTATATTATCACTAGATACATTGTATGTACATGTATTTTATACTCTAGGGTTATTTGGTATATTATCACTAGATACATTGTATGTACATGTATATCATACTCTAGAGTAATTTGGTGTATTATCACTAGATACATTGTATGTACATGTATTTTATACTCTAGGGTTATTTGGTATATTATCACTAGATACAATGTATGTACATGTATATTTTATTCTAGGGTTATTTGGTATATTATCACTGGATACATTGTATGTACATGTATTTTATACTCTAGGGTTATTTGGTATATTATCACTAGATACATTGTATGTACATGTATTTTATACTCTAGGGTTATTTGGTATATTATCACTAGATACATTGTATGTACATGTATATTATACTCTAGAAAAATTTGGTATATTATCACTGGATACATTGTATGTACATGTATATTATACTCTAGGGTTATTTGGTATATTATCACTAGATACATTGTATGTACATGTATATTATACTCTAGGGTAATTTGGTATATTATCACTAGATACATTGTATGTACATGTATATTATACTCTAGGGTAATTTGGTATATTATCACTATATAAATTGTATTTATATTATATTCGAGGGTAATTTTGTATTTATAACTACGTAAATTGAATGTGTATTATATTCGACGGTAATTTTTTTTTTGTAACTACATTATATTCTAGAGTAATTTGAACTGTTTGTTTCACTGTCGTAGTTAAATATTTGTACATGAATTTGGAATTCTTTCGGTCAGCAACATAGATTTTAACTTGGGAACCCAGTTGCATAAAGCAGTTGCTAGATAAGAGTTGAGTTAGTCGGGAATTTAGCAGACTCTTTAATTATATCATTCAATGTTTCTGATAATGCCTGGACTTTGGATAACCTTCGAATAGCTTTCGATAAAGAAAATGGAGCTAAAATAAGAGCCAAGATAGAAATTTATGGTGAGTTAGCCTTTAATATAGATTTCTTAAACAGACCTTTTCAAAGGTCAGGAAAGCTGTTTGGTGACAAATCTATAAGAAGACGGTACGGAATCCGTTTCTAACCTGTTGTCTTAAAGATGATTGATATTCAGATTGATAAAAGCAGCCTATTAATATAATTCTTACACTTGATACAATGTACAACTAGGTTATGGAGACCTTATCTCGACATTGGAAAGATTAATAAATAAAGTCAAACAAAAGGTGTATAACAAACAGATTACCAACTAATCACTTGTCTTGAAGAGCGTTTTATATTAATTAGGCGCGACTCGATTAACTAACTCAATAAGGCTTATCCCATTACGTAGCTTGAAAGTCGACGAGGGCCAATCAACCGAGTGTCTTATAATTTATAATACAAATATTATAAACCCAACTATTATTTGTATGTTGGATACGGTTATTGGTTTTTAACTTTGACGTCCATTTTGTAAGAAGTTTTGGAACGATCCTTGAACATTAATAATGGAGTTTTAAAGTCAATATAACTAACAGTAAGTGTTTTAATTTATTTCTACGTAAAACAGACTTGTGGTCACTATGAATTCAACGGGTAATTCAAGATAATAAAACCACTTGATGTTCAAGATATCACAAAACCATAATGATAATACAGGTTGATCAAATCTCTTTCTAATGTCAATGTAGCATAGAGTGATTTAGTCATATTGACTCAAGGTAAAAACACTTTAGTTTAATTCATTGATATCATGATTATTCTGCACATTTTATTTACAGCGAATTTAAGAACTTGTTATTGGGACTTTGATGTCTTTCCACTCTTTGAGCTATCTGAATTTTACTAAAAAGATGGTACTTAATACGACGATGACGATGGTGATAATATTATCTAAGAAAAACTATGAATTACTGTTTTACCTGCTCCATTGTTAGTAATATCATAATGAATATTCATTACTTCATTACTTACTGCATTAAAAGCCTCTTTAGAATATTACTTGTCTATGTCGAAATTAACACTACAGTATAAGCTTACAACCAATTCGTTGATTGATATTTTTACGAACAGTAGGCCTATATATTTAACAAAGTATGAACAAAAGCCGTATTTGATATGAAGTATCACATTACTGATATATAATTGATATTTTATAAATACCTGCTTTGATTAGATTTTTTTCTAATTTACTAAAAATAACAGCACGATGCAAAAGACTCAAAATGAAAGATATGAAAATATACAACAGCTCATAAGAATAAGAGTGAGGAAAGCTGACAATGGTGACCATCTTAAAATGACTCGTTTTAATACATCTACATGTATTCGGTAAAGCGTAGGTTTTCAACCATAGAGATATTTCCCTTAGTGGGGCATTAGATTTGCCAAAGGCTATCAAAATATTCCACGAGCTGTATAATTTATGGTATATCTTGTAGTAATCTGATCATATCTTAGGATTTAGGTCGTTGGGTCGTCGAGCGGTATTAAACATTTAATTCCGAATAAAAAAAAACGAAATTCAAAATATATTGAACTATTTATATATCTCTTTACATAAAGCTTATCTTAAATCTTACAGATCATACTACCATGGCAGACGTTGCTGTTGTTCCACCAACTGAAGCCTCTGCTTTACCCCAAGCTGTAGGATTGACAGAACGAGAAGTCAGCAGACAAATATCACGAGATGCTAAATCAGAGAAATATAGTGATAAAAAATCAATGACAAGTGTTACATCATCCAAATCTGTACGACTACCCTCTGAGAAGAAATGGAATAGCAGTCCAGCTAAAAACAACTTGTTTCAAAGACATGATTCTAAGAGCACGCGAACGTCAAGTGCAAAATCCAGAAGAACACTTTCATGTAAAAGCGCAAAACTATCAAGAGTTATGCTGAGTCGTGGTGGTGTAGATTCAGAAACTCAAAATGAACTAATGAAGAATATATTGATTACACAGTTTGATAAATATGCATCGTATGGCGATAATGATGATGATATTGAAAGTAATAGTGATGACGATGATAATGATCACAATGACGTTTTTGGCTTTAACAATAGTCAACATTTTTCTCAAAAAGATGATGATGATGAAGATTATGACACTGATTTAGAAGTTGACATTGATAGTAAGTTGTTTTTCAGACCCTTAGCATAAAACTGAAATATACAATATAGAAGTCTTTTTTCTAAATTATATAGATTATGAGGAATAACGAAGTTTGGCAATCTTTTGTCAGGACAGAGACATGATCTACTCTTTTTCTATTTCTGATTCTCAGTGAACTTCTAACGTCCACAGCATCTTGGAAACTTGAATTAAACCTTTCAGTAAAATTTCCTTTCATCGTCTGTGAGTCTTGTTTTACTAAATTGGTATAAAACGGTCCAAATGATCAGATCTTTGAATATCTTCTATTACCAGCATGGTTAAATGAAGAAAAGGGTGATATTACTGGTGATTATACAGGAGAGAAGAAATATCTATCAACTTGTGAAGTAGCTGGTGTTGTCCCAGCTTCTTATTTTGTTCGTCACATCACAGAGAACGATGTTTGTATGAGATTTCATGGTTTAGGTCCACAAGGTGTCAAAGCCATGTGTGTTCCTTTGAAGGTCTGTGCTTAATGAACTCTTCATTTCAGAATATCAATTGCGCCAACGCATTCTTTATGATCTTGTATAACTTTTTAAACGACAAAATGGTCTAGATATGCAGTTAATCTACTTAAATCAAGTTTGATGTTGTATAATTAAGATCCACCAGGCGACTAGGTCTTATTTCAAGTAATGATAATCGTTGAAGTGGTTCCTTTGTTTATCAGCTTTAACCTGTTAAATTATATCTAGAAACTAAATAATTACTATCGTGGTTGTTGTTATATTGCTAGTCTCGTATTTATTCAACCACGGATAAGAACAAAATTTCATCATCAAAAAGTCTGTTGGAGTAGTGATTCATCGTCTTGTTTTACCATTTTTTTTCTAGACCAACAGTAAAATAGAGAAGTTAGATCTTGAAGGTAACGATATGGAAGAATTAGGTTGTGTTAGTCTATCTGATATGTTAAAAGAAAATATATACATCACAAAACTAGTAAGGTTTTTGACATTTGTACATTTTCAGTCATTCATCTGAAACTATAGGATATAGAATTATAGGGAGGGTTAAAAGGTTAAAAGTTTCAAAAGGTACAAAAGTCATGGGACAAGGTATCGTGTTACACCGGAGCTGTTCATAGTTCTAGTTAACACTGGATACGTTCTTAAATCGATTTGACGCTAAATTAATTTACTCTGTGATATTTTCAGGTTTTATCCAATAACAGAATTGGTAATGATGGTATTATAACATTATGTAAGATATTTAAAAAAAATGATTCTGTACTGTCTTTAGATGTATCAGGTAGGTCACGAGCTATGCATGTTTGCAAGATCACGGTTGCGAGTTACACGTTATGATCCATACACAATGTCTGCATAGGCCGAAGTAGTTGGTCCCTCCTTACTTACTATGCACATACGTATATCTTAACAAAAAATACATTTCATCTCATTACAACATTACGAAACAGAAATGGACGTAAAGTTCGCGTATACTCTTAAAAAGATAAGTGATGTGTGGGACATAATCACTTTCTTCAATTACATGTACCTCCTGGAAATTGAACTATATTATATTGTTATTTCAGGGAATGACCTTACTGATATTTCAGCGTATCACATAACTGAAATGTTGCAGGTAATAGATAATATACAATGCCCTGAGTTCAAAATTTTGTTTTGTTGAGATATAAGAATAAGATTGAAGTGTTACAGACTGGGCTTTTTAAATTATATACACAGAAAGAAATAATTACTTGTATCCATTACGGAATTGTCAATGACACAATATCAAATTCGTGACACATTTTTACATGTTTTCAGAAAAATACCTCACTAAAACACTTGTATCTAAGTCATAATAGTTTTGAAGAGAGGGGTGCTGAGGATTTTTACGAGGCTTTGTCTCAAAATGAAGCCTTAGAGACATTAGATTTAAGTTGGAATAGATTTAGAACTAAAGGTGCAATATGTATAGCTGAAGGTATACAGGTGAGTGATGAATCCTATTTAAAATATCAATCGAAATAAAAAAAATGGGGACATTTGAAAAAGTTATTCTGAAAAGGACATGTATGAGTTATATAATACCAACTGTCAATATTAGATATTTACAACATTTGGATTGTACATATTATTTTTCTGGGGTGTGTTGCCTGTATATAATAGGTATCTTTCTCACATACAAATAGATAGGCACAAATTTAGTGAAATGTGCCAATACAAATGGTCAAAGTCCAAACAAAGTTTCCACATGCCAAAATGTGTTTTCATTTTCAGGAGAATTATGGTTTAAAGTGCATCAATCTGTGTATGAATGGTTTTGGTGCTGATGGTGCCAGTGCTATGGGAAAAGCATTAAAAGTAAACAGGACGTTACAAGATTTAGATTTATGTTTTAATCGTATTCCCGATAGTGGTGTTGAAGATATTGGTATTGGATTACAGACAAATGATGTCCTGAAATCTTTAAAGGTATTGATTAACTTAATACGGATCATAAAATCTGTGAATATAATCGGTAACTTATTATCTTTTTTGATAAATGATTGGAATGAAATGTATGAAATATATATACTTTAATCTGACGTCTGTTTGATAACTGATTATATAATGTATGAATCATAATTATTGTGTATTATATCTCACAATTACGAAAAATGTATCACTAAATCACTAAAATGATATAAAAATTTAATCTGAAGTCTGTTAGATTAATCACATAAATGGTTCAATTGAATTATGAATGTCAACTGTTATATATCAACTATATAAAATAAAATAGAAGGTATGAATTATATTAACCTATTAACTAACTTTTAAATAAATAATATATTCCATCAACTTTCATTGTATGTTTTTCAATTAAATGATGTAAAAGATATGAATAATATTATAAATGTTATAAAATTTATGGAATATAATAACTAAACTCTGACGTCTGTTTGATAATATTAAGTAACATTTATATTTACCTTCATCTGAAGTCAGTTGAATAAAAGACATAAAATGGATGAATTATATGATAAAAGATACGGTACAAAATGTCTGTTAAATCAATGATTATTAAAATGTATGAAATACATAAACTTTAACCCTAACGTCTGTTAAAAAAAAAGAATATAAAATATAAGAATTATATTGACTTTTATCAATTATATCTGTTACAAACATGAAATGAAATGTATGAATCATATTCTATAAATGATATAGAATTTTGGAATTATATTAACATTGACGTCTGTTAAATAAATGTTATAAAATGTATGAATTAAAAACATTACATAAAAAGTAGAATTATGATATTATATTATAATGAGGTAAAATGTATTATTGAAACTTTAACTGACGTCTGTTAAATAAATGATATAAATGTATGAATATTATATTTATTCTGACGTCTGCATAAAACATAATCGTGTGAATCATTTCCTTCTTTTAATTTGAAGTCTGTTGAAAAGAAAATCTGATCTTATCACTCTAAAAAAAAAAGGGGGGGGGGGGGGGGGGGTTAT